TCCTCTTGTCTTGCCAATAGTTGCCACGCTTGGCAGGCGGATTGGCAACCGCAGTTAGGCTTTAGAGATATTTTAACTGGGACGCTGCTGCCCATCCCTTGCCATCCCTTAGTCGTCTCTTATGACACCCACGGGGAAGGAAGGGACATATTTTATGCCGGGACCACACGAAAACACCTTTTAGTCCTCCTTTAAAATTTACCTATTAATATAAATTAACATAATAATAAATATCATAACAAATATATGTTTTTATATGCAATATTGTAAAATGGTATGTAATTAAGAATTGGAAAATTAAGACAATACACAAAAATAAATGAAATAACAGAACGATATTGTACCTGAGAATTATAGAACACAAAACTGATTCATATGAGAGGATGTGTACGGTACCGTGCAATAAAAATAACACTATGCCGAGGGACTGTGGTTCTTCGACAAACCAAAACCGATTCAAACTGAGGACAAAAATTTACGGAAATTTGAAATAAACCAATAAGATCGTGGGAATGGGAAGAAATGGAATGAAAAATAAGGAATGAAGGGAACATGGTAGTAAAGAGTAAGGAAAACTTAGAGGGAAATTAAATTAGCTAAAAAACTTGGAAATTAATATCCGGGAACAAGCTGCACTCCTACGGAAGGCTAAAAAAAATTGTACAATGATCAGAAATATTTTGTGCAAGAAATACTGGAAGAACATATCTAATTTTCTCTAAATAACACTTTGAACGTCCATATATTGATATTAAAATTATAAAAAATACTTTATACTTTTTACTTATTTGAAATTTTACTATTTTTGCAACTTCATTTCCTTATTTGATTGATACCTACTACTGATTTTCACCACCGTACAACCCGCCATAAACTAAAGTTTCATCCCAACCATCTAAACGATAATAACCATTCACTGGATAGGATATCTTTCAATAACCGAATTATCCTCCAATGGATAAGAGGGCACAGTGGATCTTATGGTAACGATGCCGCAGACGAACTGGCTAGAAAAGGCTCAGGAACGAGGGTGGTAGGCCCGTATCCACTCCTTCCTCTTCCGTTCTCGCAATTTCGAATATGCTCTCACTTACTGCTCTGCGCGGCTGCTCACGTAATCCTGGAATGTAAGGCTGTGGCCCGTCAACGTTTAGAAATCCTCGGAACGGTAAGGTCGCTCCGTGAGGCCTGTGAAGAACCCAGGAAGCTTCTGCGCTTCTGGGCGGAGCTAGGTTGGCTGTACTAGCCACGACTCATACGCACAACGGCCCAAATGAGAGGCTAAGCGCGGAAAACAGAGTCTTTTTTCACATTCACATTCAACCATCTAAACGAGTGGCGGTCCTCCACCGTGCGTTTTTCAAAGCACTATCTTCCACGCACAACCACTCTTTGGAATCATCTTCCAACAACAGTATTTCGGAACCGATACGACATCATAACCTTCAAGAAAAGTGCGTATTCCTTTTTAAAAGGCCGGCAGCACATCTGCAATGCCTTTGGTGTTGTGGGTAACCATGAGCGGCGGTAGTCACTTACCATCAACCGCATGCTCGTTTGCCTCTTGTATTGTAAAACAAAAACATAAATTCAGATCTGTGACGTGCATACATTTACAAAACACGCACACTAGTACAAATTGTCTCGTTTTTGTGATTACATTGCCATTCTGTCGATACATAGTAAATTATACTGTGTCTACGGCCGGTATGATAGCTTCAACATTTTTAATTGTTATTCGAACCATTTTTCATTGCAAAAAATGTTCAGTTTCACGAAATAAATCATAAAAGGATGGTAATGGTCTCGATTCCACTCCTATATAGTTTGTTATACGTAGAATTCACGGCAATTTATCGTAAACGTAACTCACCACGCGTATGTTCAAGTCCACAAACCTGCTGTTAATTGATTCAGTTTGGGCGTACAAGCGGTTTATTAGAGTTCCGCGTGTAAAATTAATATTGCAACCCCTATTTCTGTGGCAGTATATATTTATTTATCTATCTTCACACCAAGTCCCTTGCGGTGTAAGAGGACAGAAAGCAAGCACAAAGTGTCAAAGAGCACTATCCATACGTATATAAGTATCTTAAAATATCCTATACTGGCTGTATCTCGTGGTTTCGCCCGCAATTGTAGCGTGAAATTGAATAACCTGTAACCGTCGGGGGGAAAGGAATTGTTAGTAATGGGGTCTGACTGCCCCATTGCTAGCAATATCAGGCCGACCTCCATGCGGTTTCCACATCATGGAAATTATTGATAAATTCGTCACGATGGGCTAACTGACCTGCTTCATCCTCACCTATCACACTTCACTGGTGCCCCGCCAGTGTATACCGATAGCGCAGGCGGGGTTACCATACCATTATCACCCAAAAAAAAAACACCTTAGTCCTCAAAAGTAGCAACGTATGAGAGGTATCATAGGCGACACAGTATATGTTGTGTCCATAGTACTGTTCATGTCTATAAATTCGAAATTCGAAATTCAAAAATCATTTATTCATGTAGGACATTTTAGCCGCTTATGAACGTCAAATTTTTACATTATAATTTTATTTTTTTCCCTACCGTCCAGTTCGGTATATAGATCCAATTGAGAAGAACTGGCAAGAAACTCAATTGAATTACTTTTTTTTTTAAAGCCAGTTTATTTACAATGTATATTTATATAGGTGTCTATGTCTAACATTAAATGAAAATTCAGTGCATGAACAACTATTGCCATCCACACTCGTCATTCAAGTAATCGTTTAGTGAGTAATAGGCTTTGCTCAGTAAATATGATTTAACAGATGTTTTGAATTTATTTAAGGGTAATTCCAACATATCCTTTGGTATCTTATTGTAAATTTTTATACCTATTCCCATAAAAGACCTATTAACTTTTTCTAAACGATACTTGGGGACAGCAAGTTTGTCTTTAAATCTAGTATTAATATTATGAATATTGCTGTTTTTTGGAAATAAGTCAAGATTTTTATGAACATATAGGATATTTGAATATATAAATTGAGAAGCAACGGTGAGAATATTTGCCTCTTTGAATTTCTCTCTTAATGAGTCACGACTCTTCGTACAGTAGATCGCTCGAACGGCACGTTTTTGTAATATGAATATATTCTTAATATCTGCCGCTTTTCCCCATAGTAATATTCCATAAGAGAAAAGGCGATGCTTATCACTTTCCATCAGGTAACCTGCCAGCTTGTCTGCTTTTCTAAGTTACATAAATATATATATACGTGAGGACATGACAACAAGTGTCAAGCGTACCTACAATATCCGTAATTTTAAATTTTCTATAATTATTTGCCTAATCAATACTCACTGATTATACAATAATAAATAATTAATAAAGAACTAACCATATATGTATATAATATAGAACAAAAAATTAACATAAGTTTTAAAATTTAAAAGAAAATAACTATAAAATAATAATAATTATATGATAATAGATAAAACTGAGTTACAATTGTCATCCATGCGTAGATGACATTTGTCACTTTGACAGTGCCTTGACTATATTCATTCATTCTACATACTGTACGGAACCTTCCAAAATAAAACTGCACTATACATTTGACCGATTTATATTCCAATTAACTTCAATACGTCCCAATATGTTCTCCATTTATTTGCCTTCTCCATATTCCCTTCTCATTCAGCGTAGAATCGCTTTGTATGCAGTAGCTTGTATTTAGACAGCGCATTAAATTGGGTGGTATGTGCGATACCAAATTCGATAGCAAGCTGATACAAACCTGAATAGAAACCTAGACATTCTAGATACCTTTAGGTATATAAGTTAAATCTTATGTTACTCATATAATAAGTGATTTTGAGTTCTTCTACTAAAACCCAAACAAAACTCCAAAAAAATCATTTTTTCTAAAATATCTCCCATGCACAAATATCTTCTAATTACATGTTTATTATATTAAGTAAAACATGAAAAAATATCAAATTAAGTACGTATTTTGTTATTATATCAGTTACATTGAAGGTCATACACATTGCTACATACAATACAACAATGTACTAACAGGAAACATTAATTTAATCGACTATCACTCCTATTCAAGTCAGATCGGTTTGGCCATCCAACGGCAGATGGAGTATATTTTTCTCTTAATTAGAGAATAATGGTATGGTAACCTTGTCTACACTAGCAGTATACGCTGAAGGGGCATCAGTGAATGATTATAGATGAAGACGAAGTCAAATTAGTCATTTATTCTAACGAATTCACTACAAATAATCGTGATGGTTTCTAAGGAGAATGGAGGTCGGTCCAGAGTGAGATAGTAAATGCACTACTAGATACACTACTACACAAGGAAAAAAGAACATTAAAAATATTAATACATAATTACCACAATTTGATAGTTAATCATGTTTGCCGACCATCAATACCTAACTAAATTACATATAAAAAAGGCAACATTCCCTTTTTTATAAAAGAAACTTCGAGTAACAATACGTTGATAGATGCCCAGTCGAAGCATCTTAAATGGTAAACCCAGAAAGGCCCATATGAAGTAAGTTTATACATGTGGACCTCAAAATTTATAGTAGTAACTAAAAACTGCCATTTACCACATATACACACATTAACATTACAGATTTATACATCGACATGGTTAAACGTTTAAATTCTTTTATATTAAATATTTAACTTAATTCTATTTGTAATTTTAATTTTAATTTGAAAGGCTTCATTAAATGCTTCACTTTTTATTCTAAAATAAGAACAAATAAGTTCCTATTCTAATTATTCTGATTTAGTTTATAAGTTACTATCTATTAGCTATTATTGATCAATGGATAGAACCCGAATTCGAGGCTTCAAACCGGTATTTAAACTAATAGATACAACCGAAGAGGAAAACCATATTAATAATATTCTAATACTCATTAAACCAACCGCAAAGAATGAACAAACAGACTTTTTAATTAATATATACTATAGGAATATTTATAAATAGCGTTATCGCCATATAACCGTTCGCTCGACTAAACCACAGTCAGTCATCAGACAACGCAGTTAATACAACATCGCAATCAAAATGTACCGTCTTATAATTCTTCTAACTTTACTAATATCTATCGAGTCACATCGCCACTGCGGGAGGCACACATCGCTATGCCACAGGAGACACCATGACCGTCACATGAGAAACCATGAGAGATCCTTCGACAGTTTAGCAAGAAGCGTCATCTCCCTGGATCGGAGTCTAAACGAGTTATGTACCGACAATAACAATAACAGAAGCAAAGAGATATTCAAAACAGACGAGTATACTATACAAGTGTCACTGGAAGATTACGCAAAAGAGAGCATTGTGGTCAAAATTAAATATCGCGTTTTGTACATATACGCAGAGAAAAAGGACGAGTCGAAATCCAATTATTTCGAGCTTAGAGTTTTGCCGGAAATTGTTGATGTGCATAAAGCCACTTGGAATTACAACGATGGTGACTTGGAAATAATAATTCAGTACAAAATGAATAGAGTTGATGAATATATAAGAAATTGTGAGCAAGATATTGATAGCTCGGTGATTGTAGTTGAAAATTATGAACCGGTTATCGATTTAAGAAAAGGAATCGATCGAGAAGACACAACTGAAGTGTACCCAGATCGTGTTCGTGAGGAATCTGATTCACAAACAGATGGTAATGACAATGGTATAAATAATATTAATAATGTGCCTGAAGATACGAATAAATTTGTTAAAACTGCGAGCGAGACAGTTTACTGACGTGTTACTATTAATTTTGTATAACGCTTTTACTTCATTAGTGATTACAATGCTTACGTAATTATTTTGTTTCAATTAAATACTTAAAATATGTAAATTAATTACAGTCTCTTTGTTTGTTACTGTCTGTTGAATGAAAGTAGTCTGAAATGAATATCCTATTGTCCTATTAATATACTAAAATGTGAAAATTTGTAACGATAGATGATGGATGAGGATGCTGTCCATCCAGGACAGGTGGATGAACGAATGGATGTTTTATACTCTTTCACGCAAAAACTATAAAACAGATTTAAAAAAATATACAATAATTTAGAAAAAAAAAGTAATAATTAACCCAAATATTTTCCCATATTAAGCACAACTATTTCCCCCTAACCCTTTCAGACCTGAACGATACGGGCGTTAGTTGTAACTTTAAAAAATTCTAAAACCGCGCGCAATTCATTTTTACGCACGAAGCTGAAATAACATGATAGTGAGATTCTAAACCAGCCAATAAAAAATCATTTTAGCGATTAGGTGGTGCAGTAGTCTCGTGCGTGCCGGCAAGATGGCTTGGCTCCAAAACACGAAAATATATTTAATCCGAAAGAAAAAAATCTTGGGTCTGAAAGGGCTAAGAAGATGATTTATAACCTGTTGTTACCAAGCATATGATATAAGCATATCAACATAGAATGGCAAACAAGCTGACGGCCCACCTGATAGAAAGTGGTGACTGTCATCTACAGACATGAGTAATACCATGACACCCTTCACGTGTTGCCGTGCCTAAGGGCAAAGGTATGTAAGGCCTCTGTATATCATTGCCATATCCCACCCTTCAAACCGAAACACAATCTTGCAAACACAACTGCTTCACAGTAGAAACACGAATGGAACAGAGGTACCCAAGCATACAAATTTTCTACAAAGTCACCCTCTGGTACTTTATAAAAGAAAAACATACATAGAAAAGAAACATATCCGAAACTGCTAGAATCTTGATTTGTACAGGAACTTCCTAAATATAAAATGGCAACGCACGGGAAGTATCATGGGCGAAACAGTATACTCTGTTATATCCATGGTACCGCTCATGTTTGTAGGCGACTGTTACCACTTTCCCACAGGTGGGCCGTCAGTTTTTTGGCCGCCATTCTAAGTTGCATAAAAAAACCAAAGTAAGAGCATATGGAAAGAGTTAACAAGTAGAAATAATAACTAAAAAAATAGTTGCAATGTTAAAGATTGATTAAAAATTATTTTATATATTTAACAAATATTTTCTTTAAAGATTTTTTTTCAATGAATAATTTTGACATACCTAAATATAATGATAAAGACAATACCAATTCTAAAATGGAATAATGAATCGTCCAAAAACAGTTCAATGAAGCAGAAATGCTTCATCATGAATCAGATCGAATAGTACAATAACCGTACTTTATCGCTTCACAGTTAGCTAGACAATAGTATGCAATGTCCCTTGATACCTAATTACGTATATTAGTTATCAGCTAGATAATCCACTACTATTGTTTCGCGCAGTGTTGCCAGATCAAATACGTTTTCACAATTTTGAGTAAAAATTTTATGTTCCCGAAATTTTGGAAAAATTAGATACTTGTAGAAATTTTTGGAAAAAGATGTAATGGCAAGACCATTACATTTTTTCCAAAAATTTCTTTGCCAGGCCACCAGTGCTGATTTGATATTTGAAGATGAAGTTAATTCAGTTAGTCCATCGTGACGAGTTCACCAGTAATTTGGCGATTGGCGGTGTTTCGCGTTGAAGTACTGAAGACCAAATAGGTTTAATAGTACTGCATAGTCTTGCTTTATATTTATATTCGAATTTTATAATAATAAATATGGAAAAGTAAATATAATTTATTATATTAATTATATTGTGACATTTATATTCATGTAATCTGTAAAAAAATTTGTGTACATCTGCTATAGCTATGCATATTAGCATGCTGCAAAGAGAATGTTATTCAATTTATGTATGTTGTTGGGGTGCCTATTTTAAATAAATAACCAAGATGGAGTGAAGTGATTCCCCAATGAAGTGATTTTCAATAGAATTACCAATGGTAATCACACAGAATGTACAGTGATAGTCCACAGAGGCGATACCGTTTATCTGTCCACTCAGGCGAGAAACGCAAACAAACGAATGTGTTTATAGCATTATCAGCAGCTTGATTAAGAGACATTATCAAACCTGCCTTCTGTGCTCGTGCATTGTAAATATATTAAATAATGTATTAAAGTAATCATAACTTACTTAATTTAAATTAAACTGGTTATTTGTTTAGAATTATTTTGTTTAATTTCGCTACCATTAGTGTCTGTGTGATTGCCAACACTCGAAGATTGGGGGGAAAGGGATTGTTAGTAATGGAGACTGAGAATCCCATTGCTAGCAATATACCCAACCAGGTCAACCTCCTCGCGGTTCTCCCTGAAAACTATCATGGTTAATTCCTGATGAATTCATCATGATGGGCTAACTGGCCTGTTTTCATTCTCATCTATCACCCTTCACTGGTGCTCCGCCAGCGTATCCCGTTAGCGCAGGCGGGGTTACCATACCATTTTCACCCATCAAACAAAAAAAAAACTCGAAGATTGACCACCGCTATTACTATCTAAAGTTTCACAACCTTCCACATTAGCTATCAACCTCCGACTGCCATTTTGTTCATGCACGTTTTGCGACACGGGTTTCGCCTTTAAACGAGGCATGTACACGCAAATTATTAGATCGCTGCTTAAAGTCTAATATTAACTGTTCAACATCAACAAAATAATTCTAATAACCAATGATATGGACTTCCGCAAGATAATACCTTGTTCAGTAAAATATATAATTTAAAATAAGTTTTATAATGTCGCTATAGTAACTACTGATGCGATCACACTTGACAGCTCCTGTGGAACAGCAGTAGGCATACTGCTTTACTGCTGTCAACACATTGATAGAAATGATTTTTTAATGGATGATAATGGTAATCCCATCATTCATTCTCCACTGGCGGGGCACCAGTGAGAAATGAATGGTGAGGATAAAAAAGTAGGACAGTTAGCCTGTCATGAGGAATTCAACGATTAGTCACGATGGTTTCCAGATGCAGTGCCGTGTAGAGGTCGACCTGATAGGGTATATTGACAGCAATGGAGACTAACCTTTCATTACTAACAATCCCTTCCCTCCTAGGAATGAAATTATCACAACATGCCAGATTAGAGTGATAAGAAAAAATTACAAATTTAGTAAAAATATTATACAACATCCCAATTACGTATTTGGGGTCAGCATCATATGTATTTTTCTTCTATACTTCTGTATTTGTAGTTACTTCCGCATTCAATCCCATTCTGGCCATATCATCTTCCACTTAACTGTCTATTTTTTTTTTTGGTTTGCCTCTACCCTTATAGCTATCCACATTCATACTTAATATCTTTCTTAATACATACTCCTGATCCCTGCAATCTAATGCGATCCCTCACATACATAAAAAAATAGTTTTACGTCCTATATAAAATCAAAGTCTCATTGTAAAACAACAATAAGCTAATGAAAGTCGTTATTCATTAACTTAAGTAGTAGTATCATAGGGCAAGTTCTATTTAAAGCATTTGTTTGTACACAACCAATTCTATAACTGGGTTATACGTACGATGTTTATTTTTCGAAAACATTACCTCATATAGATAAAGAAACCGTCAATTGCTTTGACAAAAATAAATGACGTTTTATTGTACTACATTATATAGAAAATTTGTTGATTACTGAACTACTTTTGATGAAACGTATAATTAGATTTATTTATTTATATGCCTTATGATTCATCCATCCCTCTGTTAGTATGTATTTGAAACTAGAAGTTTTAAAAATATATTAACATGACCATATTGCAAAAACGGCTTAAAAGAGGAGTTTGAAATTTCAAAACGTGCCTTCTATTCCAAAGACAATAAAACCAAAATTATATTATAATTAAATACATCTGATAAAGACAACTAGAAAACTGGGCAAAAAATCAGAAATAAGGAAAATATACGCACAATAAAGCATTCAATACTCGTATTGCTTTACAGCCAAATTAGATAAAAGATTAAAACTAGACAAAATAAAAAAAACTCTATGAGTCACACAAAAGAATGGACAGAAATAATAAATATTTGCAGTTGTCAACACAGTTCATAATAAATACAAAACTCACAATAAGTGTTTTAATAATTTAATAAAAATTAACTTTTTCACATATTAATAATGTATAGGTACAAATTCCACCTCGTTATTCAAGTCTACCGAATAAGTTGTCGCTTCTACTGGAGCCTGCTTTTCAGAAATTTCATTGGTCAGAATTTCTGCGTCCTTATCACCTCTGGCACCAACATCCGCGTCTTGAGCATCTTCATTATCATTACCCATCTCCTCTCGACTGTGTTCTTCACTCTCATCAGTAGTTGGCAGTACCGTTACAGGATTCTCGGTGCTGATCGCTCCTTCTTTAAGAGGGAAAACAATTGTCAATAGATCCTTATCGTAAGTCCATGTTCCAGTTAAGTTGACGGACTCTGGCAAGGTTCTGACATCGAGATAACTACGCTGACTGACATCATTGTACTTATGTACAGCTTGTACCATAAGAACGCCTTCGCGCGCCTTCACAGCTATTTCTTGTTCCTGATAACCACTTAATGGTATTACGATTTTGTACTGATTGTCGACAACACCCTCACTGGACACACTGCTTGGGAATTTCACATAGAAATCCTTTAGCATTTCATCGAGCTGTCTCATCTCATTTTCTAGTTCGGCCCAAAATGCTCTAGTGTCGAATAAATTTTCTTCGACACCTCGATAACGGTCGAGTGAAGATCCATGGTTGAATCCCTGATGATGGTGGTGGTAATGAGGGGCTGCTGTCGCAACAGCCAGTATACTTAGAATCACAATCGCGTACATTGTCTTGCTTCTACTTTATAACTGTCGCCGATGTACAATTTCAGACCATTTATAGGTCCGTGCGTCTCGACAAGGAGGGTCGAAAGGTTATCACTGTCTATTCATTTAGTATATTCTGGAGTCGCTGCGTTTACACTGGGGCCGGCTATTCTCAGAAGCGATAAGACGCCGATGCGTCAGTGGAATTTGTGTAAGTAATGATTTCATTAGTGAAACAAAATTACTATCATTGTATTTTTTGTCTTTCTAAATTATTTCTTCTTCGTGTACATTTACTGCTTTGACTTTATTTTTATGTTATGATTATTATCATCATCATACCAGCCTTTAACTCTCCACTGCTGGGCATAGGCCTCTCCCATAAGGGGAGGTTTCGGCCAGTAGTTTATAAACGTGTTGGCAACCGCAGTTAGGCTTTGGAGCCCTCGCCCTCCCTTAGTCGCCTCTTACGAGAGCCACGGGAATTGGAATGGGTGGCTTATTCAATGCCGGGACTTCACTGCTGTTTTGACACGTTACTTATCAATACATTTATAAACATTTATATGATACTACGTATATGTAAATACTCTTTCCTACTTTAATGCGATAAAACGTTCTGTTTATCAAAATAATAAAACGGTTAACTGTGTTTTCAAATTGTTATCACAACTGGGCACCAGCTTCTCTCAATAAGAGGATATTACCCTATTAATACAACTGTAGGTAGTATCCATTACACTTGGTAAGTGTAAACAAATACACATTTTGATGGGCTCTATCAAAAATGACAGTCTACGGTAGAAGGTAACATTAGACCTCAGAATAGACTGGATATATGTAGGTGGTATTTGGAGCATAGATTATACCAGAGGGAGACTTTGTACAAAAGTCGTATGCTTGGGTACCTCTGTCACATTCGTGTTTCTACTGTGAAGCAGTTGTGTTTGCATGGCTGTGTTTCGGTTTAAAGGATGGGATATGACAAATAATTTACAAGGTACAGAGGAATAACACCCGAGTCCTCAGGAATGGCAACGCATGGGGGGTATCATGGGCGAAACAGTATACTCTATTATGTCCATGGTACTGCTCATGTCTATAGGCGACGGTTACCACTTTCCATCTGGTGAGCCGTCAGCTTGTTTGCCATTCTAAGCTGTATAAAAAAAAATACCCAACTTAACACTCTCACGCAGACAAAGCCGCGGGAAACAGTTAATATTAAAATATGTATAATAAAACTAACATGTTCATATATAAAGTTTTTAAAATAAAATAAAATAAAAAATGTGTGATGAAACACAAAAGAATGTCGAGTGATAGAGCCAACCAGCTTTATGGAAACGAAGCGGAAATTAGATACATATTTTCGAATAATTAATGACTAATTGTGTTGCCATTCTGAAAAACAGTGTGTTCGCAGAATACAGAAACAAACAATTCTGTTTTTTTTTTTTACTTTATTCTATCGTATCGTGTAGGTATTCATTGTGCAGAATTGAATTAATTTTTTTTTTGTATACAATTTAATTACATTTCTGGGTACTGTGACTCAACATTGTTAGGTAATTATTGTAAAACATTTGTACCGTTCCATAACTATAATAGGGTTCCGTACCAAAAAGGTACAAAGGTGTTTCCTTTCTATCGAACTAACTAAAAGGAGGTTTGAATTTAAATTTGGAATACTTTGACAATATGTCAAAGTATTCCAAATTCCAATTCGATCGAACATAGTTCTATGTCTTATTTTTTTTTGATGGCGAAAATGGTATGGTTCTCTAATAATTCTCAGTCTCCATTACTAACAATCCCTTTCCCCCCTAGTTCTATGTGTTACATTGTATTAAAAAATTTGATAAAAAGTTTTTTTTTTTTTTTTTACTAGAAAACTAAACTCATACAACTAATCCAAGTGAGATTTGAATGTAATACATTTGACCAATTTAAAACTATTTTTATTTGTTTTTATACCATGTAATACCCGACTTGCAGCCTAATATGTTAAATAATACCATTCAACTTCCTTATTTCAGAAGCATGCGAAGTGAAAAATCTAAAATAATTACAGTTTATAAAAATATAGATATTTATATATTATGTGAAAATGAAACAACTACACAAATAAACATACATATTAATAAAATGCAATGTTTTTTTTTTTACAACACAGGGGGCAGGGGGGAAGGGACTGTTAATAATGGGATCTAACAGCTCCATTACTGACAATATAACCTATCAGGTCGACTTCCACGTGGTTCCCCCTGGAAACTATCGTGGTTAATTCTTGTGAAATTCGTCACGATGGGCTAACTGACCAGCTTTCATCCTCACCTGTCATCTATCACTGGTGCCCCGCCAGCGTATACCGATAGCGCAGGCGGGGTTACCATTCCATTATCACCCATTAAAAAAAAATACTTCTCTGTATATCTTGTAATATGGTGACTCATTTGTTTTTATTCATTACTATACTTGTTTACATTAGAAAACTGTGTAATTGTTACTGGGAAACTACAAATTAGATATACATTTCAAATAACATCATTATTTCATGTAAGACTATCTTTATTCCTCATCTTTGCTCGTGTAGATCTTGGATGTAGTTGCCTATTTATTTTTCCCATGGAAACGAAGTGTCTTCCCATGGTAACATTATGTCTATATCTCTTCTCGGCCCTTAATCTCTAAAAAAGCATATCGGTTTTCGTCGTGTTATATAAGTTTAATGTAGTAAGAATATAGTAGAAGGAAAAATAGAGGGCAAAAGAGGAAATGGAAGACCGAGGAATAACTACACGGGACAGATAAAAGAAACATTAGGTGTCTAGTCGTATAGGGAGGTCAAGGATATGGCCTGGGATAGAACTGGCTGGAAGAAGATGCATGAATTAGTTGCACCGACAAGAGGAAACTCTTAAATGAAAAGAGAGATTAATTTACACTTCATTGCAAGTAAAAAATAATGATTACAATAAATTTTCATGAGAAGTGATACAAAAGGCGACCTTATTGCTAAGCAATCTCTTCCAAACAACCTTTAGGTAGAGGACATTGAGAAAAAGACAAAGGGTAGGTGGCGCACTATTGTATAGATACTACAAACATACAAGACATACAACAACAAACATAGTTTTTTTTTTTATACAGCTTAGAATAGCAAACAAGCTGACGGCCCACCTGATGGAAAGTGGTAACCGTCGCTCCTCTGTACCCTGTAAATTCACGCCATATCCCACCCTTCAAACCGAAACACAGCCATGTAAACACAACTGCTTCACGGTAGAAACACGAATCGGACAGAGATACCCATGCAATCGACTTTTGTACAAAGTCTCCCTCTGGTAAGTATACAAACATATATATATATATATATATATATATATATATATATATATATATATATATATATATATATATATATATATATATATATATATAGTTTGCTTTCATTTTTTTCTAGCGGAAGTGTATTTTTTTTATGGATAAAAATGGAATGGTAACCCCGCCTGCACTAACGGATACGCCAACCCAACATGGGATGACCATCATGATGAATTCATCAGAAATTAATCATGATAGTTTCCAGGGAGAACCGCAAGGAGGACGACATGGTTGGGTATATTGCTAGCAATGGGATTCTCAGTCTCCATTACTAACAATCCCTTTCCCCCCACTATGTATGGCATACCCCCCGGTATGGCACTGTGAAAACCGCATCCAATTTGGTGCAGTAGTTTTTGCGTGGACAAGTCAGATAAAATTCATATATATATATATATATATATATAGTCTACGCATATAGGTAGAAATATTAATATACGCAAAGCAATACTGTTCGACAATGAATTGCTGTTCACCCCGTGCAACTATAATAGCGATGCGCGAATCCGAACGTATTTGTTATTCTAATAATTAGTAATTACTAATTTTATAATTCGACTACTCAAAGTCCGTATTCGAATGATTTTACTAATTAGTAACTAATTACAACAAAATCCTTTCTCTGAATCTGATTACTACTAACTTCGTTCCACAGTCTGTATCTCCATTACTATAAATTAAATTGGCAACACCCTTTTATCCATTAAAAAATAAAACATTCCAATTCGATCGGGTCGAATCGGCTATGTTCGTGTCGACTCGCACATCAACGGCTATTAATGAATGATATCAGTAGTCCAGCCTTTCCCAAAGTGGGCGATAACGCCCCCTTGTGGGCGCTGCAGGCCTAAAAAGGGGCGGTAAGAGTAGCTTGAGTAAAGCAGTTGTGTGTGCATGACTGTGTTTCCGTTTGAAGGGTGGGATATGGCAGCGAATTTATAGGGTATAGAGGAATAACAACTGAGTCCTGAGGAATGGCAGCGCATGAGTGATATCATGGGCGAAACAGTATATTCTGTTATGTCCATGGTGCTGTCCATGTCTATAAGCGACGGTTACCACTTCCCATCAGGTGAGCCGTCAGCTTGTTTGCCATTCTAAGTTGTATAAAATAATACAAATACAGTGATTTCTACCTCGAAGAAAATTGAGACATCTAACATTTAATATAAGAACTACTAATTCTTTATGTTTTTGCTTTTGTACTTAGTAATTTTAAATATGTTCTAGAAGAAATTTAAATTTTTCACTACCTATAGGTTTATAATGTCGATGCTTGAAACTGTACTTGTCGCACTACATCAGTTCCTATATTATTTTTAATTAACAAGTGTATATTTTACTCAATGCTTCTTCACATTTCAATCGAAAGCATAGAAAGTACAGTATAAACTCGAAGTATAGTAATGTCACTATACGACAGTAGATGGCATTGTTAACTTATTTTTTTAATAATCTAATTATGGTATTAATAATTTTTAAAGTGTCATTTATCCACCTCAATACTATGGTCAAGTGAGAAAATATTTCTTACTTCATCATAAACTAGGAATAGACATGAATCTAAGAGATGGGCACAATTAGCTTTAATACCTATACCATTTCTAAACAATAATACTGAGAATATCTATTGGTACCTATTTTCATAAATACAATTAGTCTCGAAAATCTTCAAAAAAAATCTATAAAAATCTTAATCTAAGGTAAATTAAAACCAGGAAATCAAATGACTATAACGTCATTTATTGAGACACAATAATGACAAAATTCACTAATACATAACAAGAAATGCTTAAGTTTACAAAATAAATACATAACCTTAAAATGTTGTTGTCAAAGACTTAACATTTTAATTTTGTTCTCGGTTGCCTTCGAATTGCTTTTTAACCGGCCCCGTTTGGATTATAGGCACAATCCTCTCGCCTTCGACTTTTGGAGGTGCTTTCAAAGGTGCTGTTATTGTTAAAACACCATCAGACGATAATTTAGAAGTTACGTTTTCGGCTTCCACGCCTTCCGGAAGAGGATACCTCCTGGAGAAACTCCTTGAAATAAAACCGTGCTCGTCTTGTCGCTCGTCATGTTTAGCATCTACGACTAAAAATCCATCCACTGTCTTCACTGAGATCTCTTCGGGAGCAAAATGTTGAACATCTAAATTAATTTGAAATTTGTCTTTCTCCTCTTTAATCGTTGATCCCGAATCATTAGCAGCTGCACGAAGGTTTCTCCAATTTCTATAGTAATCCTGGTTGCCTTGAGGTATCGTGACTATGGTCAAATAGTCTTGAGGGGTCAGACCCAAGCCGAAATGCTGATCCAACAATTGCCTCGGTCGTTGACGTTCGCTTTCAAAGTAATAAGGATATCTAAACATTTTCACTGAATCTTTAAGACACTAATTTTAAATAAATAAGAAACAGTATTTTAATCTTGCGTCAGAAAAATGCACAATACAATGCACAAAATGCACTTAGCTCCTCAAACACTTCAAGTGACAAGAATGCACTTCCGTATTTACATGCCGGCTATTTATGTGAGAAAAGCGGCATCTAGTAGCTATTAGAATAATCGAGAATGTGACGTTTTCGAACTTTAGAAGCGTCGCGCACCTTTGCGCATGTGCTGCACCGACTGGTTGGTAGTAGAAACTTCTAGCAGTGGTTGTAAACCTGTTGTTTTGTTTGGCATATTTTCAATACTTTCTTAAGTAAATCTATACTTTTTAGGTCAACTTTTCTTAATATTTTATTTAATTATTTTAGAATAGAATTACCAGAATAAAACTACAGTATAAATATATATAATACTTAGGTACTCCACGCCATAGATGACATGTTGCTATACTTATTGTTAAAATGGTACAAAAAATATGACTATACTGCTATTTTAATATTTTATATTATTAATAATAACTAACCGTAAATTCATTATTCAATTGAAAAAGCTTTTTCGCTTTCTAAAAACCTAAAAAAGCCTTTTAATTCACTATTATTATAATATATATTACACATTGAACTTAGCCAAATACATTTTTAATATTAAAAAAGATTTTTTATCATCAATGTAAAATGCAATGTTATTTATTTTTGCATTGTAAATTAATACCTAAGCATATCGACCGTGTAGTCCTGGCATAGAATGGGCCACCCCTTCCTTTCCCATAAGTGTCGTGTGAGGCGATTAAGGGAAATTGACAGTCGAGGGATAAGTAGCAGCGTCCCTCTTAAAACATCTCTAAGCCTAAGTGCAGTTGCCAATTAGCTTGCCAAGCGTGGTAACTACTAGCAAAACACCCCCAAGATGATGAAACATATTTTCCTTTTGCAAATTGTTTTTCGTTCTTTTCGTTTCATAAAAATAATAATTTACATACATATTATTACTAATGATATATGTATATAATTAAAGATTACAAATGATACTGGGGTCCACTTTGAAATGTCATTTCTCTATATCTATCTCTTATTTAATCTAATATTTTAATTTAATACTTTCACGAAATTACTATTTTATGGACCATCATAATCTAAATTGATAGTAATTTATGAAATTTTAATTTTAAAGATAGGTTTAAAGAAATAGTGCCATAGAATTGACCCCACAGTTACAAATAATAAATAACCGAAACCAATAATTAATGATCGAAAAAATTAATTGATGGGGATTTCAGTAATTTGTCAAACAAATAGTACCTCTTAATATTAATTTGATGATAATAAAACTTATATGCATATGTACAATAACAGCTTAAAAAATGTTTTAAAGATCTGCTTCTGATTCATCATTCTTTGTCATCAACGTTATGACGCCAACGCTAGATGGAGCTATTTAGAAAATCTACGAGTTTCTAGAATAATCTTTTATAATTTAATTAAAAATTCTATCAGATAAATTTATAACTATACTTTTTTCATACTTAAAATTGTACTTTTAAAGGTACTTTCGTCTAAATTAACGACAAAACAATCCGTTTTTTTTTAATATAGGTGTGTAAATCTGTTAGGAAAGGTAATGAAGAATAGTAAGTCTACTAAATAATAGATGGCGCTAGTTATACCAACCAATTTTTACAATTTTATTTATAACTACGAAATACCTAAACTAAATACCTAAATACTCTATTTATTTCTGGTAAATATTTTTACCTATATTATATACATATATACACATATTATACTATAAATGTAGTAAATCCACACCATGAATTGTATTTAATTATTCTACCTCTTAAAAGAGTTTTTTTTTTGTGATTCGGTAATAACTAGGCAATTGATCATTATTATTAATTATTTAGGTAAAAAACTTATTTATATATTACCAATTAATCAAATATAACAATATTTATTTACTAGCAATACTTTAAACATTAACTTCTACCTAGTTTTTTTTTTTATTGTATGAAAATGGAGTGGTAACCCTGCCTGTGCTAACGGGATACGCTGGCGGAGCACCAATGAAAGGTGATCGATGAGGATGAAAACAGGCCAGTTAGCCCATCATGATGAATTCATCAGGAATTAATCATGATAGTTTCCAGGGGGAACCGCGAGGAGGTCGACCTGGTTGGGTATATTGCTAGCAATGGGATTCTTAGTCCCCATTACTAACAATCCCTTTTCCCCCCACTTCTACCTAGTTATAGCAGATAGCTAGCAACAATGGGTAAACCTTTATAATACTGGGGATAAAGGGCTTATTTGTAATAGAGTTCCATTGATAGTAATATACCCTATCAGGTCCGGGGGGGAAGGGATTGTTAGTAATGCAAATTATCAGTCCCATTGCTAACAATATACCCTTACAGGCCGGCCTCCCCGTGGTCCCCCCTGGAAACCATCGTGCTGAATTCTAAGTTTTTTTTTATACAACTTAGAATGGCAAACAAGCTGATGGCCCACCTGATGGAAAGTGGTAACCGTCGCCTATAGACATGAGCAGTACCATGGACACAACAGAATATACTGTTTCGCCCATGATACCCCCCATGCGTTGCCATTCCTGGGAACTCAGGAATAATATAGAATAAATATTTTTGAATACAGTACTTACGTACATTAATAAAAATACCCACTTTTTACTTGTACCTATTGTTATCAAAATTAAATTTTAAGTTTTTGACTTGCCTATAATAGAAGGTAAGATAGAGGGAAGAAGGGGAAGAGGGAGACCTTGGGGTCGGCGTAATATGGTTTTATCCATACTACAAAAAGATTTGGCTTATAGTTATACGACCGGCCGCTTGCCTGACGTCAACCCACTTTGGGAATGCATTTGCATCGTGGCTAATTCTAGTGGAATTCGTCACGATGGGCTAAGTGACCTGCTTATACCGATAGTGTGGTCGGGATTGCCACTAAGTTTTTTTTTATCACTGATAAAAAAAAAAACTTCAAACTTCGACTTCCAAACAATACCCCTTAGATTGTTAGTAATGGAAACTGAGAATCCCATCGCTAGCAATATACCCAACCAGGTCGACCTCCTCGCGGTTCCCCCTGAAAACTATCATGGTTAATTCCTGATGAATTCATCATGATGGGCTAACTGGCCTGTTTTCATTCTCATCTATCACCCTTCACTGGTGCTCCGCCAGCGTATCCCGTTAGCACAGGCGGGGCTACCATACCATTTTCACACATAAAAAAAAACAATATAAACATACGTTTATTTACTATAATACATTCATATACATAATATAGTGTTGTTACAATGTCCTTATGAAAAGTAAGTACACCTAAACTAAAATAAACCTATTTGGCTATTGCAAATTTTTTTTGTTATACAACTCAGAATGTCAAGCAAGCTGACGGCCCACCTGATGGAAAGTGGTAACCGTCGCCTATATAAAGTTAAAAATAATTTTTTTAAATAAGTAAAACTGAATTTTTACTTTAATGTAAAAGAACAAATTTTGAATCTTATTTTTCCTCAAATAACATTTTTTATAATTTATAGATTTTTTTTTTTTATTTCCAGATTTTATTTTTTTTCACCCGGAGAATAAAGTAGACAAAGTACTCAATTTATAGTTAAAAGAAAAAAAAAGCGGTAAAACTTTCTTTAGCCTTTTTACCTAATATTCTATACATACAGTACCTACCAGCTTTTGATGACTGCAATTAAAAAAAACCGACATATTCGGTACAAAATATTTGCTCTGTAGGAAGAACTTGTTTTCTATTTTATAATATGATTGAAAATATGATTTTTTTTTCTTTGCTTTCTTTTATGCTAAATCATAAAAAAATGAAATTAAAAAATTTTGTTAAAAAAAAATCAGGGTTGGATTACCCTTATCATTGAGGGGAATGAAAAATAGATATTGACCGATTCTCAGATCTACCCAATATGCACACAAAATTTCATAAAAATCGGTAAAGCCGTTTCGGAGGAGTTTGGTAACAAACACCGCGACACGAGAATTTTATATATTAGATAATTTGCATACTTAACGTTCTAATTCGCTAGCAGAGAACTTTGTTAATAGTCAGTCGGAGATGTTGAAAAATATAATATTGTTTTTGAAAATTGACCGATAGTTGCAATGTTGCCACATCATAGTAAAAAAAAATGAAATAATAATAATAAACTCTTTATTGCGCACAGTAGAGATGTACACAAGGAGTATTTATACAGAATGTGCATATACAAAAGGCGGCCTTATCGCTAAAAGCAATCTCTTACAGACAACCTGGAATACTATTATTAATTCTAATCTGAATAGTACCCGCGGAGTCTATTTTTTTTTCATATTATAGTGAACGAACTTTTTCAAAACTTCCATAAAAATTATTTGCAGCAAAATAAACATTGAGGATTGAATTCCGCGCGGAGGTCGACCTGACATGCTAATAATGGGAATAGCGTCCCCATTACTGGCGATCCTTCTCTCATCCTCCTCATAGGGCTTAAACACTACCGGTCATAGACATACCTGCTTGATAAACAGCTGTTAGACCGATTTTTTCTACCTGTAATTGTTTAATTAAGGTTTAAAGAAAAATAAATCGAATATGACGTCTGTGGGATTAATTTACACTAATAATTTCACACTTCTTATGTTTAGTTTTATACTACTACCTACCTATTATAATAGGGAGGAACGGGATTGTTAGTAATGGAGGCTAAAAATCCCATTGCTAGCAATATACCCAAGCAGGTCGATCACCTCGTGATTCCCCCTGGAAACTATCACGGTGAATTCCTGATGAATTCATCATGATGGACTAACTGGCCTGTTTTCATTCTCATCTATCACCCTTCACTGGTGCTCCGCCAGCGTATCCCGTTAGAGCAGGCGGAGTTACCATACCATTTTCATCCACAAAAAAAAACCTACTATAATAACTACAGGAACGCTGTAATTTTTTTTTATAGTTTAACTAAATAAGTAAATCCTGGAATATAAATAAGTATCTACCTATATTACTTTTCGTCATTCAATGTTACTATACTAACGTTATTTCAGTGTGGTCCCGGCATAGAATAGGCCACCCCTTCCTTTCCCGTGGGTGTCATAAGAGGTGACTAAGGGAGGGCGAGGGATGGACAGCAGCGTCCCTCTTAAAACATCTCTAAAAACCTAACAACGATTTTTTTTTTTTTTTTTTTTTTATGGGTGAAAATGGTATGGTAGCGCCGCCTGCGCTAACGGGATACGCTGGCGGAGCACCAGTGAAGGGTGATAGATGAGAATGAAAACAGGCCAGTTAGCCCATCATAATGAATTCATCAGGAATTAACCATGATAGTTTCCAGGGGGAACCGCGAGGAGGTCGACCTGACCTAACAACGATTGCCAACCTGGCTACCAAGCCAACTACTGGCAAAGCTCCCCATATGGGGAAGGCTCATGTCCAGCAGTGGACAGTTAACGGCTCAAATAAAATGCTGACTAACAAATCGTACATCTTATCTGTTAATATTTTCTATATGCGGGTAGGTAGGCTAGATGTTAAAAGAGAATTAATAATACAAAAAGGATTTGCTTATTAATTATTTATTTACTTATCACAAGAACCTTAACGAAAAATAGGCACATAATGTTAGCATTTAAAAAAAATAATTAAAATCAGTCTTGAAAATTTAAAAAAAAATGTAGGTATTTATACATTTACTTGGCTTCTTTGGCCGTTTCCTGTACGATGCTAAGATCCTGATCCTGATCCTGAGATCCAATATTTTTCTGTACAGGTCCAGTGTGAGTGATTGGCACAATACGTTCACCAATTGAAGGCAAAGCCAACACTTTCGGCGCTGTAATGGTTAACACTCCATCGGATGACAATTTGGACTCCACTGTATCTGGTAAACACTCTTTTGGCAAAGTGTACCTTCGCACGAACTGCCTAGATATATATCCGTGCTCGTCACGCTTCTCTTCGTGTTTTCCCTCCACAATCACTTGGTTGTCCACGATTTTGACACTCACTTCATCTGGTGAAAAGTGCTGCACGTCTATGTTCACTTGAAACTTCTCGTTGTCCGCGGTAATTTTAGTGCCGACTTCATTTAAAGCAAGCCGGTTTATCGCCGCGGACAGCTGTTCCATAGGTCTGATTAGGTTCTCCAATGGTTGGAAAACATTCTCCCAATGTCTCAAATGTGGCGGGCCGAAGAAATTTTTGTGCGCTAACTGAAATGGCGGGAAGCCGAAGAAGTCGTCTGGTATGAACATCTCCCTCTCCATTAGACGCAATGGCCGTTCCATCTCGTACAAATACGGTAGAATTGACATCTTGCTCGTCTTAATTTGTTTACGATTGTACAATAACAATCTAGTCACTTTGTATTCTCTGTAGGTATGATACTTTACTGACTACTCGCTCGCTTTATATATAAGTGGAGGTCTTACAACGCCATCTACTAGAAATTTCAAGAACAAATATATTATGCTAGAAAGCATTTCTAGAAAAGTCGCAAAGCATACGATGCCCAATGTTTGTATTTATAGAAATTGCGCCATCTAGTGGTCAATAGTGAAGTTTTAATATAGCATTTCAAATGTTATCTAATAAATTTCATATTTAAATTTTAACGAAAACTGAGTTAAAAATATTAATACACCATCATTGCCGACTATGTTTTCCGTTTCAAACTAGTGGAAATTATGTATGATTACAACTTCTATAATTTCACAGATTGCACCATCTAGTGTTAAGAAGCATAAAATAGCATACAATAATCTAGAATGAAATGGAGAAATTTATAGCAACAAGCAAATTGGTGATACATTTATGTTATCTTATTTTTGCCAAGAATTTCAACAAAATTAAACGATAATTATTTATGTGATTTGTGAAACGTACGTAACGTTTGATTATTAAACCGTGAGTCACTTATTTGTTATTTGTTTTTATTAGATGGAATGATGCATATGCCTATGCTAATAATAGCGGGGCATCAGTGAAATATGAAGCAATGTGAATGAAGGCAGGTCAGTTACCCTAACGCCGCAATTTCACACGATACGATGGTTTCCAGGGAGAACCGCGTAGAGGTCGACCTGAGATAGTATGCTGCCATCAGTGGGGACTAATACCCCCATTATTAAAAATCTCTTATGAGTATCCAGGCAACGAAATTTTTTTATGCAACATAGAATGGCAAACAAGCTAACGGCCCACCTGATGGAAAGTGGTAACCGTCGCCTATAGACACGAGCAGTACCATGGACATAACATAGTATACTGTTTCGCCCATGATACCCCCATACGTTGCCATTTCTGAGGACTCAGGTATTATTTCTCTGTATCCTATAAATCCACTGCCATATCCCACCGTTCAACCCAGTATTTATCCCTTAGTTATTTATTTATAAAAGACACACCAACAATATGCTCACAACAGTAAAGCAATACACAATGTTATAAGTAAGTAAAAAGTGAAAAATTACTGTTTATAAATGCTTAAATCTAAGTTTACTTGAAAAAAAAAAACATTTCACTCCTTCCTTAGTTATCCCTTTCATTACCAGAGGGAGACTTTGTACAAAAGTCGATTGCTTGAGTACCTCTGTCCCATTCGTGTTTCAACCGTGAAGCAGTTGTGTTTGCATGACTGTGTGTCGGTTTGAAGGGTGAGATATGGCGTGAATTTACTGGGTACATAGGAATAACAACTGAGTCCTCAGAAATGGCAACGCATGGGGGGTATCATGGGCGAAACAGTATACTCTGTTATGTTCATGGTACTGCTCATGTCTATAGGCGACGGTTACCACTTTCCATCAGGTGGGCCGTCAGCTTGTTTGCCATTTTAAGTTGCATAAAAAAGTAGACATATACGTTAAATACATTTAATGACAATAAAGATAAAATTAATATGTGTACAATTAGGGAGACTTAATAAATTAATGTCGTTGCCCTGTCCTTCGCTTCTGATAATGGCCGGTCATAATACGTATCAATCATACAGGCAGGCGTTCATTCCAAATGATAATAAGAAATACCTAAGTTAAAGAAGGGATTATTAATAGTGGGACTAGCGGCCCTATTGCTAACAATGGAGTCAGGTCAGGATCACTGATTCACCCTGGCCTGACCCCAAAAGGACACCTCTACTCAAAGGTTGTCTGCAAGTGATTGTTTTAGCAATAAGACCATCTTTTGTATTTCATATGGTGTAATGTAACGTCGTATATATATATATATATATATATATATATACATACTTTAAGTATATATACTTTAAGTCAATTAGGGAAGTTCATGTGAGGAGTCTTTGTCATCTTAAAAAAAAACGAAAGGAGAGGAGTCGGGCAAAATTTTATTTTATTACCTCTCACAAATTTATAAAAAAAAAATGTAATAATAAGAATTTGCCATTGTGCCTCCGATCAAACTGTTTATAATTACCCCTCTCTATCCAAAGGTTGCCTGGAAGAGATCGCTTTTAGCGATAAGGTCGCCCATTATTTTCTCACTGTGATTATTTCTTGTAATTGTTTATATTTATAATAAGTTTACTAATGTAATCTTTTGGAGGAAACAATAAAGAGTATCTATCTATTTATCTATAATAATTTTTTTTTAATTTTTTTTTTTTATGGATTTGCCACCCAGTTCGAAATGCAATATCAGCTGAGAAGAACGGACAAGAAACAGCTGTTGCTTTTAACAAAGCGTGTGTCCTTCACCCGCTTCCCAAATTACAGCTACTTACATATAGTCGGTGCAATATTTTTAGATATAACCTCTGTAAACATAGCATCCTTTTTGGACACTTGCGTAAATAATGACGATGACTCACAACTACATCCTGTATATATGAATAATATATAATTATTATATATCAATAAACTATGAGATAGCGTCGCACTCATTGCTAATTGTCCGTGTGTGCCGTCCGTCATTGTGACAACGAATTATGGACGTACAATATTTCGTGTCGATTTTTATATTGCTCTGGAGACGGTTAGTTGTTTTTTTTTTTAACTTATATTTAATTAACATATACCATTTTAGACGTTAACTGTACGATGCTGGACATAGGCTCCCCCTATTGGGGGGTTTTGCCAGTAGTTGCCACTTTTAGTAGGCATTTTAATTACCGTAGTTTCTTTTTAATGCGCGATAGTGGTATGGTAACTTTGTACTATCGGTATACAATAGCTGGGCACCAGTGACGGATGATACTGGGTACAGAGGAATAATACCTGAGTCCTCAGGAATGGCAACGCATGGGGGGTATCATTGGCGAAACAGTATACTCTGTTATGTCCATGGTACTGTTCATGTCTATAGATGACGGTTACCACTTTCCATCAGGTGGGCCGTCAGCTTGTTTGCCATTCTAAGTTGTATAAAAAAAATTATAGGTGAGAATGACGCAGGTCAGTTAGCCCATCGTGACAAATTCACTAGTGAATCAATCAAAATAGTTTCCAGGGGGCACCGCGAGGAGGTCGTCCTGATATATTACTAGTAATAGGGTTACTAATCCCATTTTTAACAATCCCTTACCCCCTGCAGTAAGACCTTGGTGATGTTTTAAGAGAGACGCTACTGCCCATCCCTCGACCTTTTACTTAGTGGCCTCTCACGACACTCATGGGAAAAAAATAGTGGTCCATTCTATGCCGGGACCACACGGCCGTTATTAATTATTAGTACTCGAATTTATTTTTTCTAGTATGTAATAAGTGATTATTGAAATATTTATTTATTTAACATTTTATTGCACCAACATAACAAGATTTGTTGAACAATTTTAAATACGTATAGTGTAGTGCAAAAGGCGGTCTTGTTGCTAAGCAATCTCTTCCAGACAAGCTTTGGGTAGAAGGAATTAAAGCATAAATAGGTAGGTGGCGCGTTAAAAGAAATAGATCTGTAAAAAATAATTTCTGTGACAGCATAGTCATATACACATACATAAATAAACACTGACATCCAAATATATACATTTATATACATACACATACATATATAAATATATATACATACATACACATATACATACGTATATAAGCATAAATAAATATGATCATATTGACGTGACGAATTCAACAATAATTTATCACGATGGTCTCCAGGGTGAAAACCGTGTGTAGATCGAACTCATAGGGTATATTTTTAGCATTGGAACATTTAAACCCCATTACTAACAATCCCCTCTCACCCCGGTTTAAAGAATGGGATATAAAAGTAAAATTACAAAGTACGGAGGCATAAGACCATAGTCCTCAAGAAGGGGGGAAAGGATCGTTAGTAATGCCGGCTACCAGTCCCATTGCTAGCAATATACCCTGTCAGGTCGACCGCCACGCGGTTCCTTCTGGAAACCATCGTGCTGAGTTCCACGTGTATTCTTCACGATGGGCTGACTGACCTGCTTTTTTCATTATTCACCTATCATCCCTCACTGGTGCCCCGTCAGCGTATACCGTTAGCGCAGGCGGGGTTACCATTCCATTAATCACGCATTAAAAAAAAAGTCCTCAATAATGGCAACACATGAATAGTGTCATGGGCACGAAAATTTATTTAATTTAGATATTTTATTAGCTGTATACATAATAAGTGAATGCAGCAGATAAAAAAAAATATGTTATGCCGCGGTCACAGATAACGACAATGTACTTATTGCCCTTGTTAATATTAATTACTGGACGGTAGGGAAAAAATTAAAATTATATGTAAAAATTTGACGTTCATAAGCGGCTAAAATGTCCTACATGATTAAATGATTTTTGAATTTTGAATTTTGAATTTTGAATTATATTCATAACATTAGTGATGCGCGACTTTACTAATCCGACTGCTCACTCGAATAATTACTAATTATTCGAGTGAGCAAATCGTTCGGACTATTCGAATGATTTTCAAATTTATCGATTACTAATTTAATTCATCCGACTTCTAATGTCGTTTGATTACTAATATCATTCGTTAGTAGTCGTTGATGTACGAATGGATACGAACATAGCCGAGTCGACCCGATCGTTGGGGGGAGGGGGAAAGGGATTGTTAATAATGAGATTTAACAACCCCATTGCTAGCAATATACCCTATCAGATCGATCTCCACGCGGTTCCCCCTGGAAACCATAGTGGTTAATTCTTGTTCAATTGATCACTATGGGCCAACTGACTTGCCTTCATCCTCACCTATCACCCTTCCGTGGTACCCTGCCAACGTATACCGATAGCGCAGGCAAGGTTACCATTTCATCTTCACACATAAAAAAGACCCGATCGTTGGAATGTCTTAATTTTTTAATGGATTTTAACGAAACTTGGTACAATTATTCTTCATACTCCTGGGCAGGTTATAGTATACTTTTCATCATGCTACGATCAATAGGAGCAGAGCAGTGAAGGGAAATGTGTCTGTTACATCAAAACCACTGAACCGTTAGGAAGGACATAGGCTTATTTTACGAAAAACGACGGAAATGCCGACGAAGTCGCGGGCAACAGCTAGTATTTAATATAGGAATGAGGAACCGGATCGAAATAAATATAAATAAAATGGGTAAAATTACCCATTTCGAATATCACATACTAGTACATATATACTAGAATGGGTAACTGGGGGGAAAGGGATTATTAGTAATGGAGACTGAGAATCCCATTGCTAGCAATATACCCAAACAGGTCGACCTCCTCGCTATTCCCCCTGGAAACTATCATGGTTAATTCCTGATGAATTCATCATGATGGGCCAACTGGCCTGTTTTCATTCTCATCTATCGCCCTTCACTGGTGCTTCGCCAGCGTGTCCCGTTAGCGCAGGCGGAGTTACCATACCATTTTCACCCATCAAAAAAACTAGTATGGGTAGTCGCCGTTTCATATATTTATTTATTTAAGAAACACCAACAACATATTGCATTATAACATATAGATATAACAAACATTAAATACAATACAATATTAATGCACACGCCTATTATAGGTATTCACAGCATTCACTTTAACATAGTTATACAGTGCGAGAAAATGAAGTAAATAATAAAAATATATAATAATTATTAATAGAATGCCGTTGCATTCCTTTTAAACCACGTCCAAAGCATAACTGTGGTTGCCAATCCACCTGCCAATCGTGGCAACTACTAGCAAAACCCCCTCATAAGAGGAGGCTTGCATTCAGAAGTGGAGTGGTGAAGTTAAAGGCTGATATGTTGGTAATGAATGCCTCTGACTACCCCGTTAGGGACAACAGTCATGAGTATACTTATTTATTTTATTTAAAGTACTGATATCTTTTGGCTTTTTTGTTTGTATATGCAAATAAAGAAATCACGAGCGATATTTGTAGCATTCTTCGAAAATGCTTATCAACGGCGATGACTCACTCGCTTTAAGAATTAAAATACCTTTGTGCATATCAGATAAATAAATCTTAATATATGTAAGTATTTAAATAGACTTTGAAGTCTATTGCTTGGGTACCTCTGTCCCATTCGTGTTTCTACCGTGAAGCAGTTGTGTTTGCATGGCTGTGTTTCGGTTTGAAGGGTGGGATACGGCGTGAGTTTACAGGGTACAGAGGAATAACACCTGAGTCCTCAGGAATGGCAACGCATGGGGGTATCATGGGCGTAACAGTATACCCTGTTATGTCCATGGTACTGCTCATGTCTATAGGCGACGGTTACCACTTTCCATCAGGTGGGCCGTCAGCTTGTTTGCCATTCTAAGTTGTATAAAAAAAATCTTTTTAGTTGTTTAAGATCCCACCGCTGAGTTTGGAATGTTTTTGTTCACTGAGAACCCGAAATAAGCTTAGGGACTCTTTTCAAAATGACTTTTTTTTTTCTTTTTTATACCTATAAAATAATTTCATATTTACAAAAATACTAGCTTTTACCCGCGACTTCGTCCATGTGAGTGGAGTATGTTTACTAATTGAGATAAAAAGTAGCCTTTATCCTTCCTCCGTTCCATATGATTGGTTCAGCCATTAAAGCCCTACGAGATAACAGACAAACAAACTCACTTTCACATATATATTATTAGTATGAATCTACCTACAGTGATCATATTTAACATTGTTTTATTAGGGTATATATTGTTAACCCTTCTTTGCATATATATATATATATATATATATATATATATAGTTTATTATATATTATTATACTTTTATACCTAAATTGGATAATATAAATGCTAGCATCATTTTGTATCCATAATCCATAATATGATATAAAGATGATTAAATGATCATTCTTATCATCAAAATGATTATATTTATCTCTTATGATAACTATTTATTCATAGAAAATGAAACTATACATTAATTTATACATACCTATATATGTATTTTTTTTTGATAGGTGAAAAAGGTATGGTAGCCCCGCCTGCGCTAACGGGATACGCTGGCGGAGCACCAGTGAAGGGTTATCGATGAGAATCAAAACAGGCCAGTTAGCCCATCATGATGAATTCATCAGGAATTAACCATGATAGTTTCCAGGGGGAACCGCGAGGAGGTCGACCCGGTTGGGTATATTGCTAGCAATGGGATTCTCAGTCTCCATCACTAACAATCCCTTTCCCCCCATATCAAATATTAGTGCAACTACAAGATTCTTCGCATTCAGAAGATTTATAATTCGATAACTCAAAATGTTTTATCATATTTTATTATTGCAGGACAGACTCATCAGACGCATATCCTAAGCTATGCTTCCCAGAAGATTTTATGTTTGGTGTGGCAACCGCGTCCTACCAGATCGAAGGGGGATGGAACGTATCAGGTAACTTCTAAACACCTATTATGTATACGACGGTAGACTAGCATACGGTTCGCCGGATCGTATACAGCACCGCTACTATGAGTTTCTATAGACAATTTATTGAAATTGTTTGAAATGATGCCTGCAGTCATCTTTCATCATCGCACCGCTCGCTATCGAGAAGGAATACATCCTCACACGCTTGAGCCTAAATGTTCACGTACAGTGCGGTTTCAGAGAAATTTTCTCCCACGAACGCTCAGGTTGTGGAGTGATCTTCCTGCCAAGACTTTCTAGAGACAAAATTTTTTTTTTATACAATTTAGAACGGCAAACAAACTGACGGCCCACCTGATGGTAAGTGGTAACCGTCGCCTATGGACATGTGCAGTACCATGGACATAACAGTGTATACTGTTTCGCCCATGATACCCTCCATGCGTTGCCATCCCTGAGGACTCAGATGTTATTCCTCTGTACCTTGTAAATTCAAACTGAAACATAGCTGTGCAAACACAACTGCTTTACGGTTGAAACATGAATGGGACAGAGGTAGCCAAGTAAACGACTTTTGTACAAAGTCTCCCTATGGTAGACTTTGTACAAAATGAAGGTATGAGCATGAAATTCTTCAAAAATCGACGTATTAAAGTTTTTTAAATGTTACAGGCGTCCATAGGCTACGGTAACCCACTTTACCATCAGACGGGCCGTATGCTTGTTTGCCACCATTGTAGTATACAATATTATACTAGATAATACAGAAATTGATTATTAAAGGCAAAGGTGAAAGCATATGGGATCGTTATACGCATCAGTATCCCGAAAGGGTGTTCGATCACAAGAACGGTGATGTGTCTGACGACTCTTATCACCGGTACAAGGAGGACGTGAAGCTACTGAAGGAATTAGGAGTGAACTTCTATCGCTTCTCTATATCATGGCCCAGAATACTGCCGACTGGATTTATCAAGTGAGTATATTATGAAATTTATACATAGAAGAGGAATGAGCCCTGATACGACAGATGACAGGGATTGAGGCGGAGGGATTGCTAATAATGGAGGCTAAGGGCCCCATTGCTAGCAATATATCCAACCAAGTCGATCTCCACGTGGTCCCCCCTAGAAATCATCGCGCTGAATTCCAAGTGTATTCATCTATAGACTAAATGATCTGTCTTTTCATCCTCGCCTATCATTACTCACTGGTGCCCCGCCAGTGTATACCAATAGCGCAAGCGTTACCATTCCATCATCACCCATTAAAAAAAAGATGACAAGCATTTGTGGAAGAAAAAGACATATTGCTCTGCAATGAATAAGAAAAACAAGGCAATGATTATACCATTGTGATATTTGTATGTATTCGCCGTATGGTCGTAACATAGAACAAGCCACCCCTTCCTTTCCCGTGGGTGTCATAAGAGGCTACTAAGGGAGGGCGAGAAATGGCCAACAGCGTCCCTCTTAAAACATCACCAAAGCCTGACTGCGGTTGTCAATCCTTCTGCTAAGCGTAACAACTACTGACAAAACGCTCCAGGGGAAGGCTTATGTTCAGCAGTGGACAGTTAAAAGCTGATATGACGATGATGATGATCATGTGCACATCGAAGGAATTGCAGGTGTTTTACTGGCCTTTTAAAAAGAAATATGCTCTTTTCTTGAATGTTACGATGCCATATTGGTTCAAAAATACTACGACTGGAAGATGATTTCAAAGCTTGATTATGCGTGGAAGAAAATGACTTAAAAATGCACTCATCCAGATTATTGGCATGTTGCCATACATGTGCTAATACGCCATGGCCGTAGCTAGGAGGGGGGAGGCATTGAAGGGCAATGCCCTACTTTAAAAAGCTTAAAGCCCTACCTTAAAATGAAAGGATCCAAGAAAATTAGACAGATTTGCTTTCTCGAAGTCTCTTAATTACGGCTTCTGCCCTACCAAAAAATTCTTTTGCCCTACCTTAAACTTGGGTCTAGATACGGCCCTGCATGTTGCTATTCTAATTTGTATCAAATCTACTGGTATACTTAGAGTACATTATCTTACAATCAATTCTTTACAGGGGGGAAAGGGATTGTTAGTAATGGAGACTGAGACTCCCATTGCTAGCAATATACCCAACCAGGTCGACCTCCTCGCGGTTCTCCCTGGAAACTATCATGGTTAATTCCTAATGAATTCATCATGATGGGCTAACTGGCCTGTTTTCATTCTCATCTATCACCCTTCACTGGTGCTCCGCCAGCGTATCCCGTTAGCGCAGGCGGGGTTACCATACCATTTTCACCCATCAAAAAAAAACAATTCTGTACGTTCCAGTGACATCAACAAAGATGGTATCAGATACTACAACGAGCTGATCGATGAGTTGCACCGTAACAATATCGAGCCAGTAGTGACCATGTACCATTGGGACCTGCCGCAGGTACTGCAGGACCTTGGCGGCTGGACAAACCCCATCATAGCAGATTACTTCGTGGACTACGCAAAGGTTAGCAATAGGTCTGTAATACGAGACTCATAGCCATGGGGTCCCGGCATAGAATAGGCCACCCCTTCCTTTCTCGTGAGTGTCGTAAAAGGCGGCTAATGGAGGGCGAGGAATGGGTAGCAGCGTCCCACTTAAAACATCTCCAAATCCTAAATGCGATTGCCAATCCGCGAACCAACTACTAGCAAAACCCCTCAAGGGGGTGGCTTATGTTCAGCAGTGGACAGTTAAAGGCTGATATGGTGATGATGATGATAAATAAAATTATGGGTTATAGGATTTAAGAACTTCAAGTCACAAAGAATCTCAATGTCACTTTACCAGAGGGAGACTTTGTATAAAAGTCATTTGCTTGAGTACCTCTGTTCCATTCATGTTTCAATCCGTGAAGCAGTTGTGTTTGCATGGCTGTGTTTCGGTTTGAAGGGTGGAATGTGGCGGTGAATTTACAGGATATAGAGGAATAACACCTGAGTCCTCAGGAATGGCAACGCATGGTACTGCTCATGTCTATAGGCGACGGTCACCACTTCATTTAAATACATTTTAGTTCCATCAGGTAGGTCGTCAGCTTGTTTATCATAATAAGCGCAATTTTAATCTTCAGGTGCTATTTAAAGAGTTCGGCGACAAAGTCCGCTTCTGGTTGACCTTCAACGAGCCACTGTCCTTCTGTCACGATGGATACGGCGGAAACGATGCACCTGGCGGCCAGGCCAGTGGCCTCGAGGACTATATGTGTGGGCACAACGTCCTTAGAGCACATGGAAAGGTCTATACGCTTTACAGCAAGGAATACAGGAATGAACAGCAGGGTAAGTTTATTCTCATATGTAAATAAAAAAAATATAAATATAGATCTTGGTATGTAGCCTAGGTCTGTTCTCTGAACATTCAAAATATTTGTCCATTAAGGAAGTATGGTATGTAGCAGAGAGCGGTCATTATTTATATTATATAATAAATAATCAAAATGTTATACAATTTTTTTTATAAATGAATGAATGAATGAATGGTTTATTTTCTCTTCACAAAAGGTAGCATAAAGTGACAACTTGAGGTACAATTTGATATGTAAGACCAATTTTGTGAGAGACTGGTGCTTGCGGTAGGTTTTGAAGAACCTGTGTTACAAGTCACAGATATATTACAGAGTGATAAAGATCCATGATCAGAAGATGGCAAATAAGCACACACCCCATCATGATCCCATGATGGGGTGTGTGCTTATTATACTCATGAGCCCATCGTGACGAATTCAACAAGAATTGTTTACGATCGTTTCCAGGGGGAACCACGTGGAGGTCGACTTAATAGGGCATATTGCTAACAATGGGACTGTCAAACTCCATTGCTAAAAATCCCTTTCCCCCACCCCATTCTGTTAGGAAAAACTTTTTTAACCTTCAGTAAATCAGTTAAGATATATAGATACCAGAAACTATATACTGTTCTCTGATGTAAATGAGTAATTAAATATAAATAAAAGAGAAAAAACAATGGAAAAATTCAATGTAATCTTTTCGTCTATAGATAGTAACAGTTTTAAAGTTACAGTGCGCTTGGATCAACTTCCTAAAGTAATTCGGATCAACTATTAAAAATTATTTATCTTAATCAACTACTTTGACGCGATTGAATAAACTACCTAAACTTTTTTGGATCGATCACCTAAAGATCATATTAACTCCGATTCACGCTTGATCGTTTTTAATAAATATTATCTAATAGGACCCGTAATTACCATACGATACCATCATCTTATGGTGTTTTACCATTGGAAGTGTTTTGCCAATAGTTGCCACGCTCGGCAGGCGGATTGGCAACCGCAGTTACAGGACTCTGTTGCACATCTTCGCCCTTCCTTAGTCGCATCTTAAGATATCCACGGGAAAGGAAGGGATGGCCTATTCTATGCCGGGACCACACGGCAACTCATACTTGCATAGTTGAAAACATTAGCTAACTTATTTGATCATAATGGAATGTTGTTTATAGGTTCTATTGGAATCACATTAGACATAGCGTGGATGGAACCTGCCACCACTTCTAAGGAGGACCAGGATGCTGCCGAAACAGCGAGACAGTTTACTGTAAGTCTTCTTTTGTAATTATAGACTAGGGCAGCAGTAAAAACCTGAAAAAAATATATTTTAAAATTTGAATAAGAACTCCTATTAAGTTCCAAACTAGTCGAGAATCCCCGAATTTGAAATGTAAATCAAGTTTATATAAATATTGACAATTCATTATGACTCATAATATTTATTTTTTATACAACTTAGAATGACAAACAAGCTGAGGGCTCACCTGATGGAAAGTGGTAACCGTCGCCTATTGACATGAGCAGTACCATGGACATAACAGAGTATACTGTTTCGCCCATGATACCCCCCATGCGTTGCCAGTCCTGAGGACTGTTATTCCTCTATACCCTGTAAATTCACGCCATATCCCACCCTTCAAACCGAAACACAGCCATGCAAACACAACTGCTTCACGGTTGAAACACGAATGGGACAGAGGTATCCAAGCAATCGACTTTTGTACAAAGTCTTCATCATCATCATCATATCAGCCGTTAACTATCCACTGCTGAACATAGACCTTCCCCTTGGAGGGGATCCAACACTCCACCAGGGATTCATGCTTAGCAAGTAGATCCCTGACTCTTAAGTTCCCTTCAGTTAGGCTTTGGTAATATTGGCCATTCTTCGATTATTAAATTCCCTTAGTCGCCTCTTACGACACCCACGGCAATAATAGAAAATGTACAAATGTTTTTCTTTTTATGTCGATTTTTTTGTTCTCAGTATGGCTGGTTCGCACATCCAATTCTCACAGACGAGGGAGACTACCCCCAGATCATGCGCCAACGGATAGACCAAAACTCCAAACGCCAGAACTTCGCTCGATCTCGTCTACCGCACTTCACCAGTGACGAAGTACAGGAAATCAGAAGCTCCTTCGATTTTCTCGGGCTGAATCATTACACCACGTACATGGTCAGCCCCGGAGACAACAAGACCAGCGCCGTGCCATCGTTCAATAACGACATGGGTGTCAGTATGAGTCAGAAAGCTGAGTGGCCTAAATCGAATTCCTCTTGGTTGAAGGTAAATTATTTTTCTGTGCATAGGATCTATTAGATCCTGGCAGTTTATTGCCAATAGATAAGGAAGTTGTAGTAGCCAAAGTGTACGTAGTAAAGTTGTCGAACTTAACGTTTCAAGATTATGTTGGCTCAGCCTTTACGTGTCCACTGCTGTACATAGCCTCCCCCCTTTTTTTTGCGTTTGAATTGCGTCTTAGAATCGGCGATGTTTTCTTTTTTTACTTCGAATATATATTTTTTTACTTCATTTTTTTTATATTTTCATGTCTTTTGATGGCAGTTCCACATACCACTAAGAGGGGCATCAGCTTTAATGCCGTTCTAAGTTACATGAAATGACTCGGGGAAGTAGCTGTGAATGCTTTAGTCAGGACTTAACTTTTTATCCCTTTCAGACCTGAACGATACGTGAGGTGTAACTTTAAAAAATTCTAAAACCGCGCGCAATTCATTTTTACGTACGAAGCTGAAATAACATGATAGTGAGATTTTAAACCAGCCAATAAAAAATCATTTTAGCGGTTAGGTGGTGCAGTAGTCTCGTGCGTGCCGGCAAGATGGCTTGGCTCCAAAACACGAAAATATATTTAATCTGAAAGAAAAAAAATCTTGGGTCTGAAAGGGTTATATAATTATTTTTCAACCAATTTTAAGAAGACTCAAGTCGGTTGTATTTTTCTATAATTGTCCCTTCATAACTCCGTCAATAATAAATAGATTTGGAAAATTCTTTTTTTATCTTAAAGGATATACTTACTTATTGCTCCTGAAGAAATTAAAAAAAATCGGTTTAGCAGTTTAGTTTTTAAATCTAAATAACTGGGTTTGCCACAATCGAAATCAAATATTTTTTATTAACCCCTAAATTTTCAATATCTTTACAGGTGGTCCCGTGGGGCTTCAGGAAAGCTTTGAACTGGGTAAAGACTACATACAACAACCCAAACATTTTGGTAACTGAAAACGGTATCTCGCTAAAGCCCGGTTTACACGATCCGAAACGTGTAAACTACATCGATGGATATTTGAGGGCGTTACATGACGCTATCTATAAAGACAAATGCAGGGTCATAGGGTACACGTATTGGAGTCTGCTGGACAATTTTGAGTGGATGAGAGGATTCTCGTGAGTATTCCTGGTATAACTCGTAAAAAATATATTTAAAAAAGTTCATAGCAAAGATCTTATTTATATTTGATGAAGTTGCTAATGTAGTTATTAAGAGAGTTCATAATAAAGCTAGAATAATAGACTGTGTGGACCTAATATAGAATGGACGGGGGGAAAGGGATTGTTAGCAATGGAGTTTGACAGCCCCATTATTAGTAATTAGCCCTATTAGGTCGACCTCTACGTGCTTCTCCCTGGAAACCATCGTGAACAATTCTTGTTGAATTCGTCACGATGGGCTAACTGACCTGCTTCATCCTCACCTATCATCCTTCACTGGTGCCCCGCCGGTGTATACCGATAGCGCGGGTGGTGTTACCATTCCATTATCACCCATTAAAAAAAAACATAGAAAGGACCATTTTCAAAAATCGATCAGGCACATTGAAAAATGTTGAATTGTTTTTGAAAATTGACATATAATTATAATTACCACACAAAAGTGTAAGCAAAAGATATCATCATCATCATCATCAGCATCATATCAGCCATTCACTGTTCACTGCTGAACATAGGCTGTCCTCTTTTGGGGGGATCCCTATAGGGTTTTGCCAGTAGTTACCACGCTTGTCAGGCAGGTTGGTAACCGCAGTTAGGCTTTGATGATGTTTTAAGAGAGATGCTGCAGTCCATCCCATGACCATTTTTTTTTTATTCGTGATAAGGGTATGGTAACCCGGCCTGCGCTAACGGTATACGCTGGCAGAACACCAGTAAAGGGTGATAGATGAGAATGAAAACAGGCCAGTTAGCCCATCATGATGAATTCATCAGGAATTAACCATGATAGTTTCCAGGGGGAACCGTTTCGAGGAGGTCGACCTGGTTGGGTATATTACTAGCAATGGGATTCTCAGTCTCCATTACCAATAGTATTATATTGACTGTGCCATTACTAACAATCCCTTTCCCCCCCCCCCCCACGACCATTACATTCTTTTAGTTGCCTCTTACGACACCCACGGGAAAGCAAGGGGCGGTCCATGCTATGCCCGGACCACGTGGCTTTAGTATAGTTTATTGTTCGATAATATATCTGTTAGTTAATTTATTTATATAAATTAAAATGTTTATTTCAGTGAGAGATTTGGACTTTACGAAGTTGATTACGAATCAGCGGAGCGCACCCGTAGCCCGCGCCTCTCCGCTTCCTACTTCAATAATGTAGCCACTACTGGCTGCTTGCCGACGTCGTCCGACGATTACGTTGAATATACACTTACCAATAAATAAATCTATATAAACAACAAGCTATATCCCGCGGCTTCGCTCGTATTTGTACCGCCATGTTAAAAATAACCTGTAAGAATAATTATTTTTTTCAAATCTGACTAGTAATTATATATATATATATAGGTATCAGTATCACTCCAATATCTATATATTCGGTTCCTCTAAACTATAATGGCGGAAATATTTTCCGTACTAGTCGTATATCTATTTATTCAATCGAGTGCTTCATTTCGATATTCTATATATGATCATCAACTTCGTCCGCCATATTCAATTTTAATATAACCGTCTTTTTCCCATTCTTCCTTTAAAAGACGTAATAAATTATAATCAAAATGTCACAGTTCTTTTATTTTTGTTTTTAATAACATAGCCCTTCTTTTGTTTAGGTTTATGTATAAGGAGATATCAGAATCGCTTTTATACCACAGGTGACAAACAAGCATACGGCCCACCTGATGATAAGTGATTACTGTAGCCTATGAAAACCTGCAATACGTCGTAATCAAAATGTCACAGTCCTTTTATTTTTGTTTTTAATAACATAGCCCTTCATTTGTTTAGGTCTAGTTATAAAGAGATATCAGAATCGCTTTTATACCACTAAGGTGACAAACAAGCATGCGGACCACCGCATGGTAAGCGGTTACCGTAGCCTATGAACACCTGCAATATCAGAGGTATTTTAAATAAATCGTTTAAATATGTATTGAACACCTCTTTTAAGATTAACTCCTTTTATATCACGCAAATTCCTCTTATAAAACGCATGTGCGTTACATACATTTTAGGAAGAAATATGCTCTTTTTTAAAGGTTACAATGTCGGTTTTTTTATCCACTGTTAAGAGTAGCACCCCTTATAAACTACCATAAGAGGATTTCGGTAAGGATTGTTAGTAATGCAGACTGCCAGTTCCATTGCCAGAAATATATCTTGTCAAATCGATCTTACTGTGGGCCCCCTGGAAACCATCGTGCTAATTTCCAGGTGTATTCATCACGACGGGCTAACTGGCTTGCCTTTTCATTCTCACCTATCATTGCTCACTGGTGCCTCGAAAGCGTATACCGTTAGCACAGGCGGAATTACCACTCCATTATAACCCATTAAAAAAACTACCTAAAAAACCCGTTCTGAGCCACATGCTTCTATCGACTGCCTGCAACACATTTTAGGTGCTAGTATTAATTATTCTACTTAATTTTTTAAAATTCTTTCACCTATCACAAAGTCCACTATCAGCAAGTTACATAGACTATATATTCTTTAAAAAAAAAAGAAATTAGAGACCCGTACAAAAATTACAATAATATCAAACCAAAGGTATCAAAAATTTTGCCAATTAAAGCCAATATAAAATACTAAACTACCTTTCTATCTACCCGTGCGAAACCGGGGCGGGATGCTAGTAATAATATACAGTTCTTTGCTGTAAACATTAATGTATTTCGTTGTATATTTTACATTAAAAAATAACACTAGAATACTTGGGATAAATTCGGATTTCCGGAATACTTAAATACAACTAGGTGTAACACATATAAATTAAATCATCACACAATATTCGTTTCTGGAATACATTATTCCTATTTCGGCAATCACTTAATGTGAACTTATTAGTATAAATTGTTTATAAGAGATTTGAGAATTAAGACAAGAATTAAAGAGAATTAACTATCTAAGGCACACTGGTATATCTTACAATATGTACGTTTTGGTCCGTAAATTAATAAGCACAAATTTTTCCATATAAGGAAATACAGTGAACGCTCTATATAAGCAACATTTTTTTATATTTTATTTATTCTACTCAGCTTAGTTAGTAAAAGAAATAAGTAAAAATATTTTCCAGACGGTAAATATTTTTATACTCATTTTTTCCTCTATAAGCAACTTTTCCCAATAAAAATTTTTTTTATTGAAATTAGTTCAAATGAGTCGCTTATATAGAGCGTTCACTGTAATATCAAGAAATTTGCAGTTAATAATGCTAAAATTGGATGATGTAAGGACTCTAACAATACCCCATGTATGCAAATCTGTTTAGGCGTTCAGAAGTTATGATGGAATATAGAGACTCACATACATGAACTCTGAAAACATTATATTCTTTTTTGGCTTGCCATGTAAAATGGCATGATATGTAGCTATCTCTTCTATATAAAAAAACATCTGTACATATTTAAATGTATGTAAAAAGCGAGAGTTCAATTTGCAAGCAAAATATCCAGATCACAGAAGAGTAGAGCTTAGTTTGAGAAGAGGAGTAAGGATTAATTCTTTTTTTTTCAACACAGAGGTAAACGAGCATGCGGCTCCCCTGATGGTAAGTGACTACCATCTATTACTATTTCTTATTATTACTATTACATTTATAGCAAGTTAAGAGATATCCAAACTAAAGAACGAGTGGGAGGATGAATAATGGGATGAAAGTGGAATGTTAACCCCGCCTGCGGGTAATATTATTATTTTTATAAGTTTATCTCTATCAGTGTAACTTAGTGTGAACGTTAATCCATTTGTTTATTCCCATCTCTTATAAACTATAAATCATGCAATATTATAATAATATAAATTTCATTTAAATGGGACTAAAAGGACCACATATTAATATGGTTCATTATAGCATCTTAAAACAATTTACCATTAATGTAATTGACAGCTTTCTAAGGCGATCCGTAAAATGGGCTGCATGTTACCTTTTAAATTAAATTTACTGTAAAATATACTATTTATTATTAATGTTGAAAATCATTAATAAAAAAAAAATATAATGTACAAACGTGTAACAACTGCACAGAATAACATGCAATTTTTAAAAAAATATACTCAGCTGTATATATTAGTATAAATAAATGCTGTAAGAATACTTTCATACAATGAATATTTGATTGTAATAAAATGTAATACCTACGGGAATACTATATAATAATAATAAACAATTACTAAATCGTATTTTTGTTTAATGTAATATGTAATCATCAAGAACAAAGCGTATCTTTAATTTAGTAATGACTATTAATAATCAAAATTTGTCACTACTAAATAACTCACAGGGTACACAAGTTCCATTTTTAAATATTATTAAAAGATATTGCAAATTGCATAACAATTTAAAATTTGGCAGTTAAGAACCTGTTTCACACGACCTTTTACTATTTCATGAGCAAAAATTTACCATTATTAAAAATAAAAGTTACTTTAAAATCAACTCACTGTTACTAACTCATTGTGGAAATATTAATATTTGAATGTTTATATACAAAAAAAAAATTATAAATAAACAAACAACAAAATTTTATAACGATAGAATTAATAATTATATTTAACACAAAACTATTTGCAACTCTAATTCTTGCATTAAATTTGATATGTGAGTAACTTAAGCACATCCTGTGTAAATTGTTTATCTATCTACCTGTATATCCTGAAAAAAAGATTTGCTAATTTTTAGTATATATATATATATATATATATATATATATATATATATATATATATATATATATATATATATATATATATATATTACATGTGTTAACCATAGTAATTGATCAGGATGTGCTAGGAATATGTATATAATAAAGTTACAAAATACGAATATACCCGTAACTTTATATTTTGGAATAATCTTGAGGGCATATATACACTAACTTAGCGGCCTTAATTTAACTACATAATTATATCTAATGTTGGACCATATTTGATAATGCTCTGCAAAAATCCTAAATTGGTTTTACTTAAATTTAATAATAATTGTAAAGGTAACTAGTAAAACGAATAAGTTATTAAATATTAAATGAAATATTCAATTCGAACTATTCGGTACAAACTACTTTTGGTGAAATCAGAACCTATTAACTTTACTTATATATATCATTTATATGAAATTGTTAAACACTTTTATAACACTAATAATGAGTAGGGATATACATTTACATTATTACATGTATCACATCTCCATATTTAGAAATAATAAAATTTTCATAGTGCCTCCGATCAAACTGTTTATAATTACTCCTCTCCATCCAAAGGTTGTCTGGAAGAGATCGCTTTTAGCGATAAGGTCGCCCATTGTTTTCTCATTGTGATTATTTCTTGTAATTGCTTATGTCTATAATAAGTTTACTATTGTAATCTTTTTGAAGGAAACAATAAAGAATATCTATCTATCCATCTAAGGTATGTAAAAATCTTGGTCAAATTTAAAATAATTAAATACAATTGACATTTGTTTATCTCTACTCAATTTTAGTTAAAGTTTTGGATAATGCAAAAATATATAATGTAGAACTAACTAATCGATTGGAGGCCATTTTAAAAAATAAAGTCTAACTAGAAGTAACATCGAAATCGGTGCAGAATTGCAACGCATGGGGGGTATCATGGGCGAAACAGTATACTCTGTTATGTCCGTGGTACTGCTCATGTGTATAGGCGACGATTACCACTGTCCATCAAGTGAGTCAACAGCTTGTTTACCATTCTAAGTTGCATCAAAAAATTGCAGAATTACGGCCTATAATACCCAGAAAAGAAAAATATCTTCGAATTAAAAGAGTAATCGCCAACATTATCGGAAACATGCTTTATTATTTAAAATTAAACTTAATCCGTGGTGCCGCTAAGTTTACAGCCGCTCAGTTAACTTACTCATTCTAACTTCTTCATAATCAGCCTTCTAATAAATACTCCCCGTTCAAGACTGCGGCATCTTACACTGGCTGCACGCTTCCATACCGTCGTTAAACTCTTCAATCTGAAGTGTCATTTCGAAAAAGTTGTACTTCTCGTGGACTAGCTTTGTGGCTTGTTCTAGAACCTTCTGTGGACTGACGCCGGTACCTGTTAAGTTAATGGATAAGTTCAGCTGATCAAACACATTTAGTTTATGGTAATACCAGGGGGAAAGAGATTGAAGGGATGAAATTTAACAGACCCACTATTAGCAATATACCCAGAACTAAACAACCTGGAACTTAATACCCGGGTACTAGTTGCACTCCTAGAGGGGGAAGGGGGGCTTATAAAAAAAATATACCCAGAACAGGTCGATCTCCACGTGGTTACGACTGGAAACCACCATGGTTTATTGTAGGTGAATTCGTCACGATGGGCTAAATGACCTGCTTTATCTTCACCAATCATCGCACACTGGTGCCCTGCTAGCTTATATCAATAGCGCAGGCAGGGCTATACTATTCCATTTTCATCCATTAAAAAAAAATACCGCGTGTCCTATTGGTTTACGCTGACGGGAAATGAATGATGGATAATAGGTAAAGATGCTTTGCTTATTTTGAATGACATGGGGGTTAGTGGAGTCTAGACGATGGTTACGTTTTGTATTTCTTATAACATTTTGTCGCACAAAAAAAAACCGACTTCAATTGTGGTAAAACTAGTTATTTGGATTTAAAAACTAAACTACTGAACCGATTTTGATAAAATTTCAATGGGACCAATCTGTAAGTAAAGACTTTTAGATAAAAAAATCCAAATCGGTTCACAACTGACGAAGTTATGAGATAAATCAATTGAGAATCTCTTTTTTTTATACAACTTAGAATGGCAAACAAGCTGACGGCCCACCTGATGGAAAGTGGTAACCGTCGCCTATAGACATGAGCAGTACCATGTACATAACAGAGTATACTGTTTCGCCCATGATACCCCCCATGCGTTACCATTCCTGAGGACTCAGGTGTTATTCCTCTGTACCCAGTAAATTCACGCCACATCCCACCCTTCAAATCGAAACACAGCCATGCAAACACAGCTGCTTCACGGTTGAAACACGAATGGGACAGAGGTACCCAAGCAATCGACTTTTGTACAAACTCTCCCTCTTGGAGTCAATTGAAAAATACAGGATTTATAATGTAAATATACAATTTTTATGTAAGTACCTTCATTTTCCTCCAAATACAGCTAAAAATGAATAATAATCTATATAAATGACAATTCAGCTTTCTAATAGTTATAATACACTTACTACAAGATCACGATACTCTTTGTATTGTACCAATTTTGTTATGAAATAATATTTTTTTTTATACAACTTAGAATGGCAAACAAGCTGACGGTCCACCTGATGGAAAGTGGTAACCGTCGCCTATAGACAGGAGCAGTACCATGGACATAACAGAGTATACTGTTTCGCCCATGATACCCCCCATGTGTTGGTATTCCTGAGGACTCAGGTGTTATTTCTCTGTACCCAGTAAATTCACGCCATCGTCATCATCGTTGTCAATGTATACTATACTAATAAGTATTAAACTAATATTTTATGGCATGAATTAATTATGAATAAGGGGATAAGCCTTTTATTCATAAAAACTCAAATATTCTATAAACCTACTTTAACTATAACGAGGTTTTGTCACTGTCTTTCAAATTAAGAAATTAGCGCAAAAGAAAGAGACAAAAATGTTACATGTTTACAATTTTATTTTAACATAACAATAATAGTTGGACATATAGTATCGAGAAGTTTTTTGTAGTAATTGATATTTTCTTCAATATTGTAGAACATACTTTTGTTCTATCACCAATAGTTTCCGCAGTGCACGCGACGAAAGATATTTTATTGCATTTTTTTACACCTTGAGTTACATTACTAAAGTTTTAGAAAAGATCCCTATTCTTTTTTAGCAATAAATATAACCTATGTTACTCAGGGTGAATGTAGCTTTCTAATGGTGAAAGAATTTTTGAAATCAGCAAAGTAGTTTTTGTGTTTATTCATTACAAACATACATACACACAAAAATACAAATCTTTCCTCTTTATAATATAAGTGTAGATGTAGATGATTACAGACACATACACTATGATCTAATATGAGATGATATAAAGTAAAAATACAAATAAGATTTTTATATGAGTAGGTACGGTGCGTACGTGATAAGCGCATGAAATGTCACAACGAAGTTAGCCGCGCTACAAAGCGCTGCGGCCGCAGTCGGCCGCTATCTTCATGCGAAACTTCATTTAAGGTATTGGCGCAATATCCATAGGCGTGGCGGAATAATATATTATTATAATATATTTGAGAATATTTTCTGCTACACTTTCTTTACTAACATAATTTTAAGTATGTTAATAACAAATATATATTTTATTGCCTAACTAGTGACCCGCCCCGGCTTCGCACGGGTGCACATTACATACACATCACATTAGAAACCTTTAAAATTATCAGTGTTTCTCTACAATATTATGCATGTATTATACATAGAAACCTTTCTCTTGAATCACTCTATCTATTAAAAAGAACCGCTTCAAAATTCGTTGCGTAGTTTTAAAGATTTAAGCATACATAGGGACGGAAAAACAGCGACAGCGACTTTGTTTTATACTATGTAATGATAGTAAATACGAGTAGATTTGATTGCAAATAAAATGGATCTTATTGTCTGATATTAAATAGATTTGAATTTGAAGTGACATACGTATGGCTAGATGCGCGGCGAGCGCGGTCTTGTCCAGCGAGAGCGCCCACATGCGCAAGTTGTGCACGCGCAGCACGCCCGGCAGCGACAGGAACGTGTTCGCCACATCCTGCGTGTGCGCACAAATTGCGTTATGTAATACTCGAACATCCCCTAATTCTGATATGCCCATGAATGAATAGCGCATTCATGTCTATAGGCGACGGTTGCCATTGTTCATCAGATGGACCGTCAGATTGTTTACCATTTTAAGTTTAATAAAATACAAGCAGATTTGTACTAATAAAGGATTTATGTACAAAGTAAAGACAGGATAATGTTGTATAGAGAAAGAATAATTAGTGTAATGTGTAATAACAACGATTGGGTAGAAGAAAAAATAAGTCGGTCTCAAAATAGAAACGTGATATCGCTATTTCAGTCGACTCGTGACCACGGTCAATGAAACTTGATCGAAACATTTTTTTTTATACAACTTAGAATGGCAAACAAGCTGACGGCCCACCTGATGGAAAGTGATAACCGTCGCCTATAGACATGAGCAGTACCGTGGACATAACAGTATACTGTTTCACCCATGATACCCCCTATGCGTTGCCATTCCTGAGGACTCAGGTGTTATTCCTCTATAGCCAGTAATTTCACGCCATATCCCACCCTTCAAACCGAAACACAGCCATGCAAACACAACTGCTTCACGGTAGAAACACGAATGGGACAGAGGTGCCCAAGCAATCGACTTTTGTACAAAGTCTCCCTCTGGTATCATCATCGATATAACATCGAGGTACAATAAACCAGAATAGAAATAATTTTTTATCCAAATGGACTTGTTTACAAGCTGTTTTTAAATGGTCAATTTTTATGATTGTACTGCTGGGTTCAGGATGATGTTATTTGCTAAAAAGAACCAGCAAGAAACTCAACAGTTACTCTTTTCAAATATTAATATGTGCAAAAGAATTTTACATTTGCATGGTTACTGTGTTAATGTGTGGTAAAAAATTTTTGTAAATAATCGCTTAATTCTTATGACTTAAAAACCATTTATTGTGTTACCTAACGTACTTTTCACACCGCACAATGCATTAGTAAATCATACCTGGAAGTCCACTCCTCTAGGCGATCCCTCCATTAGCACCAGGAGCGTGTCCTTGATGATGTTGAAGGTGGTGATAAGTACGAGGATTGAGAAGAGGAACGTGCAGATCGGATCCACTAAATTCCAATCCGGCTATAAAAAAAAAACAAATTAATTTAAAGAATAAAACCAGACAGCTCTCAATAAGTTGCAATCAAGTAAAAATAAAATTTCTTTATTTTAGGAATTAAAACTAAACTGGACTATTCTCCAATTTTTTTTACATACCATTAGGTAAGTATACTTAAATCAAAGCTGTAAAGCTCACGTAATCGATTAAATAAATAAATAGCAAACCGCTTGGCCTGCATGGTGAAAACAGGTGTATAACCGGGGGGAAAGGGATTGTTAGTAATACGGACTATCAGTCCCATTGCTAACAATATACCGTATCAGGTAGACCTCCACGTGGTTCCCCCGAAACCATCGTGCTGAATTCCAGGTGTATTCATCACGGTGGACTAACTGTCCTGCATCCTCACTTATCACCCTTCACTTGTTCCTCACCAGCGTATATCGATAGCGCAGGCGGGGTTACCATTCCATTTTCACCCATTAAAAAAACACAGATGTATAGCCATGACTTTTTGCGAAATTTATGCCCAGCTGTGGAACTTAAATAAGTTGTTTTTGAGGATAATTGGAAAGAAAAATACCTTGTAGTATATGACGATGGCAGCGACAAGCACGCCGAAGCTTTGCAAGAAGTCACCAAGCACGTGGATGAAGGCGGCGCGGACATTAATATTCTGGGTCTGCGGTTGGTGATCGTGGTTATGCTGGTGAGACGTTGTACTCTCCACGTCCGACTCTGAACGCTCCTTCTAAAACAAGAGCCTGTTATATAATTCTGTTTTTTTTTATGCTGCTAGTAATAATAAAGAATCTGAGAGTTCGTTTGATGGAAAACCATCCGAGGCCTATAGACGTAAACCGTTACAATCGAATCTGAAGGCCCTCTTGGTCAGTCACTTACCATCAGGTGAGCCGCATGCTCGTTTGCCCCTTGTTGTAACTTTAATTTTTTTTACAACACAGGGGACAAACGAGCATGCGGCTCACCTGATGGTAAGTGACTACCGCCGCCCATGATCACCCAGAACACCAGCGGCATTGCAGGCATCCTGCTGGCCTTTTAAAAAGAATATATATTGTGAGCAAGGGTGGACTTATCTCTGACAGAGATGTCTTCCAGTCAACCTAATGCAGTTAGAAAGCATGTTGTTAGCGGGTAGCTGAAGTGCTACAACTATTAATATTTAGTGTACATAAACAAATATACAGTTAAATAAAATATTAAGATACATAATATATATTAATATTATATTACTTTTTAAGGTAGTAACGAAGAGTTCTCGGTGTAAGAAGCGAGAGAGTAAGTAAAAACTATAGAGAATTCTACATAACTGCAATTGATGTTTGGTTGGATTCGCATACAGCATCAATGGTAACTATTTGATATTTACCAAATTGCGTGCTTAAAACACCATGAGCATGGTAAGTAGCAACCTACCTTGTTATTAAGGACCGGGTTGGCACTGGAGTGAGAGTGGCCATGTCCACCACCACCATGACTGTGCCCGTGCTGGTGCAACGTCAACCCCATGCTGGAAAACAATTAGTTACAGTGTTAAGTAAAGAATTTTACAATACATATTGGTGTGGTCCAAAGGTTAACGTCAGGCAGGTGGCTGGTCGTAAAATCAAAGCTGAAACCTTGTAAAAATATGAATAAAAACAAATTACGCCCTACTCACTCTACTACTGCCTTTTACCAGAAGGAGACTTTGTACAAAAGTCGATTGCTTGGGTACCTCTGTACCATTCGTGTTTCTACCGTGAAGCAGCTGAGTTTGCATGGCTGTGTTTGGTTTTGAAGGGTGGGATATGCCGTGAATATACAGGGTACAGAGAAATAACACCTGAGTCCTTAGGAATGACAACGCATGGGGGTTATCATTGGTGAAACAGAATACTCTGTTATGTCCATGGTACCGCTCATGTTTATAGGCGACGGTGACTACTTTCCATCAGGTGGGCCGTCAGCTTGTTTGCCATTCTAAGTTGTATAAAAATAAACTCAAAAAAATTGGGATTTAAGGAAGACAATGATTATCCAGAGAAGTTCTAAACTGTGAGTTTTGATCGAGTTTATAAAGAACTCGGATTAAAAATTATTTTCATACTTTGATTCATACTTTGCAAAATCAAACAAACTTCCTTGAGGAAGTTTGTTTGATTTTGCAAAACCCTATCAATAAATATTGGATTATAGATGCTCTTTCTATTACACAAGAGATATTTTAAATACCAGTAGGTAGTATGTCTGTTTCGTCTAGTCATTTATATATTGCCAAGAAACTATAAGCACAGCTGTGTTCCAGTTTGAATTACGAGATATGACAATGGCATTGAGTGTTCCAGATCTTTATATTGCTTGATTTACTACTCGAAAAAAAATTATTATTTATTTATTTATTTCATCAATTGAGTAAGCTTTATTCAGTCTCCCAATACGCTCACCTAGGAAATATTGATATAATATACTCATATTTGGCCGTGTGGTCCGGTATAGAACAGGCAACCCTTTCCTTTCCCGTGGGTGTCGTAAGAGGCGACTAAGGGAGGGCGAGGGATGGACAGCAGCGTTCCTCTTAAAACATCTTTTTTTTTTTTATACTACTTAGAATGGCAAACAAGCTGACGGCCCACCTGATGGAAAGTAGTAACCGTCGCCTATAGACATGAGCAGTACCATGGACATAATAGAGTATACTGTTTCGCCCATGATACCCCCCATGCGTTGCCATTCCTGAGACTCAGGTGTTATTCCTCTGTACCCAGTAAATTCACGCCATATCCCACCCTTCAAACCGAAACACAGTTATGCAAACACAACTGCTTCACGGTTGAAACACGAATGGGACAGAGGTACCCAAGCAATCGACTTTTGTACAAAGTCTCCCTCTGGCAAATCTTTAAAGCCTGACTGTGATTGCTAATCCGCCTGCCAAGCATGACCACTACTGGCAACCCCCCCCCCCTAAGGGGGAGACTTATGTTCAGCAGTGGATAGTTAACAACTAATATTATAATACAAACGTACACAAGGTTCACGGCGACTCCAACAGCGGACGTGATCAGCATGACAGTGGCATCGATCTCAAATGACTTGTATATGACTCGCTGCACGGCCATGTAGACCAGGATACCGGTTACCACCCATATGAGCAGTACAGATGTCAGGGCGCCTATCACTTCAGCTCTGTACCAGCCGAAAGGCATTCTGTAAAATAATATAACATTTATTGCTATTGGTATTTAATGCTCCTTTCCACTCAGGGTTTGCTGGAAGAGAACTCTTACAGAGTTAAGCTCGCCTGTTGTACGTCTTTATTTAATACTAGCGGCCCGTCCCGGCTTCGCACGGGTGGACATTTTTACAACATTTTAAAAAGTGGTTATTGTGACATAACGATAATAGTTGGACATATAGTATCGAGAAGTTTTTTATAGTTATTGATATTTTCATCAATATTGTAGAACATACTTTTGTTCTATCACCAATAGTTTCCGCAGCGCACGCGACGAAAGATATTTTATAGCATTTTTATTTACATTTTGAGTTAGGTTACTAAAGTTTTAGTAAGGACCCCTAATCTTTTCTAACAATAAATATATACTCAGGGTGAATGTAAGTTTCTAATGGTGAAAGAATTTTTGAAATCAGCAAAGTAGTTTTTGAGTTTTTTCATTACAAACATACACACAAAAATACAAATCTTTCCTCTTTATAATATTAGTGTAGATGTAGAAATGTAGATATTTTAAATATTTGTAATTTTTGTATACAATAAATAATAAATAAATAAATAACAAGAAATAAAGTTATCATGTCATTGAAACAACAAACGCATTCTTCAATGTTTGTTATTTAAAATGATTCATGACGATAGAAAGGAACCTTTGTCTAGCAATGAACAGGAAAAGGGATATTATGATAATCATTAATAAATAAAAGCGTTATTTTAACTTACTAAAGTATGATAGTGACGTAATTATATGTCAAATTTTAATAACAATTTAATAAGTCGCCGTTCCGGTTCGTATCTGGCTCAAAAGATATCTCTGGCAATACAACGTGCAAATGCCACAAGTGTCATGAAGACCTTTGGGTCGGGTACAGATTATGAATACTACTGATCATTAATGTAAGTTTTTTTTTGTGAAAAAAACATTATATTTTTGAAAAGAAAACAATATTTTTATTTAATAATTTCCAATATTTCTGATTAAATACATTTAAAAAGTGTTCTGCTAGCGAATTTTTTATTTATTTATTCATTAGTACATATATGTTTACAAGGCGAACTTAATCCTAAAAAAAACCTTTCAATTCGCTACTAGAGAACTGGAGGTCTACCATGAAATGAAATTCCGAATTTTCGGACTTAATTTCGTGTTTTTGTTCGTACCAAAATCGACCCTATAAATGGAGCTTAACATTTCATTTGTCATAAATCCTACCATAAAAGTAAAAAGGAACGTACTTTAGCATTTTTAATATTTTTAAACGGTATCCATCAAGTAATTTTAACATAAAATTTTTGTTTCGTTCGGATTCGAAATTTCAGAAAACATTTCATGGTAGGCCCTCTGTTTAAATAATTTGTCACAAACATTGAAAATTGTATCGAGTGATTCCGGCATAGAATAGGCCACCCCTTCCTTTCCCGTAAGTGACGTAAGAGGAGACTAAGAGAACATAATATTCAAGGTAGCAGTGTTCCTATTAAAACATCACCGAAACTTGACTGCGGTTGCTAACCCGCCTGCCAAGCGTGACAACTGCTAGCAAACCCTCCAAAAGGGAAACATATATAATATATGAACAGCTGGTATTGTGAAGAGAATAAACTTTATTATTATTATTATATGTTCAGTTCATCATCATCATTGAAAATTGTTGAACTATCTTTAAAATTTACAGATAACTGTGATATTTCCAAACTTTGGTTAAGTCGAAATTATGAATACTCTTAAACGAAACATAAATAATTTTAACTGATATTTTATTAAAACTCCCCTTATGGGGAAGGCTTATGTTCATCAGTGGATAGTTAGGGGTTAAGATAATAAAAAAAAAATATATGATATACCTTCGTGTTGCTGGCCTGCTTGCAACCCATAGTGAAAATAAGGATATCATAAAACTAGCAAAGTCTGTAAGTAAATGCGCCGCGTCCGTTGCGATCGCCAAACTGTTTGATAAATAACCACCTGTAAAATAATAATAAATATTTAGTGTATTACAGGGCCGTAGCTAGACCCATGTTTAAGATAGGGCAAAAGAACTTTTTGGTAGGGCAGAAACCATAATTAAGTGACTTCGAAGTAACTTTAAGAAAACTGTTTGATAAATAACCACCTGAAAGAAATAATTAAATAATTTATGTATTACAGGGCCGTAGCTAGACCCATGTTTAAGGTAGGGCAAAAGAATTTTTTTGATAGGGCAGAAACTATAATTAGGTGACTTCGAAGTAACTTTAAGAAAACTACTTTGAAGTCACTTAATTATGGCTTCGAAGTATCTTAAGTAAGAAGTACCTAACTGTCTTGGCGCTTTTTATTTGAAGGAAAAAATACAACTGCTTTTAGGCCCTTCCAACTTCTTCTTTTTAAAGTCCTTTTGAATATATATATATATATATATATATATATATATATATATATATATATATAAGGGAACAAACAGAGGGTACCATACAAAATGAGAAATGAAATTAAATAAACCAAGTATTAAAGGTAGGATTATCTTATTGGTACAAATTATATTGCAAAATAATCTCAAAGAAAAAAAAAAGGTTTTGCAATATCACTCACCTACAATTTCACCAATCATAAATATGACACATAAAATACTGGCTATGATGAGTTTTCTTCTAGCTCGCTTGTCTATCTCTTCGTTTCTTGATCTATGACAGTGCCCTGGAAACATGGAAAACAAATTTTATCATTCAATAATATTGACTCATTTAATCAGAAGACGATAAAAATGATCGCATTAAAAGTACGTTATAATAGTTAAAATCCGTAAGAATTACTACTATTTTATTAAATATAACTTCACAAAAATGTAACTCAACGCACTTAACCTAGCCACACACATTTACACACGCGTACATGTAAAAACACGCACACAGAGGGAGACTTTGTACAAAAGTCGTTTGCTTGGGTACCTCTGTCCCATTCGTGTTTCTACAGTGAAGCAGTTGTGTTTGCATGGCTGTGTTTCGGTTTGAAGGATGGGATATAGCGTGAATTTACAGGGCACAGAAGAATAACACCAGAGTCCTCAGGAATGGCAACGCATAGGGGGTATCACGGGCGAAACAGTATACTCTGTTATGTCCATGGTACTGCTCTTGTCTATAGGCGACGGTTACCACTTTCCATCAGGTGGGCCGTCAGCTTGTTTGACATTCTAAGTTGTATAAGAAAAAATATGGATGTTAATCTAATAGGGTATAATTATTGGTAATACGAAGACTAATCTATTAATATCTTTCTAAACTGATACGAAAACATTGTATGCCCATATACATTTCCGGTTAACTATACAATATAAAAAAAAAACCGGGAGAGAATTGACATATCTAATGTAAACCACCGGACGGGACGTTGCAAGCAAAATATTTGTTTAACAAAATATTTTGTACACAATTGTGTTGATAAAAAAGTTTTGTGACAACCGTTTAATGATAAACGAAACTTTTTGGATGGCTGATGGTGATTTGATTGGCTTATGGATATTATACATTTTTTGCGCTTACTACAAGCGCTTCATCCTTCGACTTTTATACAAAGTCTCCCTCTGGTGGACTCTATTCTGTTAGAAATCGGCAAACTGTCATATGGTTGGATCGATATGGTTGGATACATTTGCTTATATTTTCATTAATTTCTATTAAACAAACTACAGTAACTCGGGAGAAAAGGAATTGTTAGCAATGGAGTTTGACATCCCCATTGCTAGCAATATGCCCTATTAGGTCGACCTCCACGTGGTTTCCCTGGAAACCATTGTGAACAATTCTTGTTGAATTCGTCACGATGGGCTAACTGACTTGCTTCATCCTCACCTATTATCCTGGTGCCCCACCAGTGTATACCGATAGCGCAGGCGGGGTTACCATTCCATTATTATCCATTAAAAAAAAACTACAGTAACTCACTTTCGATCTCAGTGATGCTGCCATTCCGTCTCTCGGGGTCGTCCCCGTCAGCTGTGGTCTCTATCACGGCGCAGCAACCGGTGGATGGGTTGCCGTGAACGCAGAATATGACCCGCCGCCCCTTCGCAGGACTATCCGTGCCGTATGACGCCTTGCCTTCTTTGAAACTGTAAATAAGCAGAAATGCACCTTATTATCTGTGAATTAAAAGCGGTTTCATACTAGCTGTGCGCGAATCTGAATGATTTCGTCATTCGAATAATTAGTCATTACTTATTTAATAATTCGACTACTAAATTATGAATATACAAATTTTCGTATTGGAATAATTTTACTAATTAGTAATTCGATTAAAACGAAATAGTAAAGAAAAAAATAACATGTCACTTCACACTGTCCACTAACTTAACAAGATTTTTTTTGATGGGTGAAAATGGTATGGTAACCCCGCCTGCGCTAACGGGATACGCTGGCGGAGCACCAGTGAAGGGTGATAGATGAGAATGAAAACAGGCCAGTTAGCCGGTTTTATTTTATATAAAATGTAAAATATTTGCATGCCTACATGTTTGAAGGCAATTAAACAGGTGCCAAAATAAATACCACGTGGCTTGTAATAATTTTAAACTGTTTAATGCAAATAAACTCATTTCATTTTATTTCATAAATAATAATAACTTTATTTCCTTAAACAAAATTCCCCCCACTACCCCCCACACTAGGCAAAGCCTGTCTCGTGGAAGTCAAAGCTAGAAATTTAACAGTTATAGTGCGGCGAACAGGGTTAATTTAAATATCACTCATGTACAAACATCTTATATTTACAATTTTATTTTATTAGTAAAATTATTACTGGCAAATAATTTAAACTTACTATTTAAAAAATTAAAAAAGTACGCATTGGATATGATATTTTGTAGATACATTAGACTTAAATTGTTGAAATTTAAACATTAGCACCATACGTAGAAATAGTTTTTGTTTTTGGAAAATAAAAGTAAAAAAATTAAATGTCGCAGTTTCTATTGCTCTCTCTTTTCGTTTAAGTGTTCCCTCTTGTTGAAGTAACTAATTCATGCATTCGTTTCCAGTCAGCTTTATTCTAGACCATATCTTTTTTATACAACTTAGAATGGCAAACAAGCTGACGGCCCACCTAATGGAAAGTGGTAACCGTCGCCTATAGACAGGAGCAGTACCATGGGCATAACATAGTATACTGTTTCGTCCATGATACCCCCCATGTGTTGCCATTCCTGAGGATTCAGATGTTATTCCTCTGTACCCTGTAAATTCACGCCATATCACACCCTTCAAACCGAAGCACAGCCATGCAAACACAACTGCTTCACGGTTGAAACACGAATGGGACAGAGGTATCCAAGCAATCGACTTTTGTACAAAGTCTCCCTTTGACCTCCCTATATGGCATGACTCCCTACATGGCATAGTGTTTCCTTAATTTCTATTGCATATAAAAATAAATAATCTTTTGGCAATCAGAAAAATACTGGAACCAACTTTGACCTTTTACAATGTTTCCCCAAAACTCGAGTTTTATACATATTTTGGAAATCTTTATGTGATCATTGATTTATTAATGCTAACTGTATGAAGGTACTATTACTTGCCAACTTATTCCATACGCGTCTACAATTTGTAACAGAAAATTGCTCTCGTCGTTTCTTATTTAATTTTTTATCACAAATAATGAACTAAACGCGAAAAATATACGCTTAACCCGTTAACAAAAGCGGAAAGGCAATGTTCTAACACCGTCTACGTCGGCCATAATGGTCACACAGATTGTGAATCTATGAAAAACACGTCATACACGCGTAAACAACATATATTACATATAATTTATACGCTGGAAACACGATTAGTGATGCTTTAACGATATTTTACTACATTAACCATGGTGTTTAATTTAACAATTTATAGGTGACGTGCTGAAGAAGGGCCAAATTAAAAGTACCCGTAACCGGCGAGCGTGTATGAAAAGATTGATGAGTGTGGAGGAAGCGAAAGAGGTTTGTTTGAATCGAAGCATTTGGCGTTCCATTGTTTCTGCCTACCCTAATAGGAGACAGGCGTGACAGATATGTATGTATGTATGTATGTAAGCAAACTATTTAATATGATTATTTCTTCGATTGCTACGTAATTTCATAGTGATCAGAGTCATCATCATCATCATATCAGCCGTTAACTGTCCACTGCTGGACGTACACCTCCTCTTTCGGGGCGTTGCCAGTAGTTGCCATGCTTGGTAGGCGAATTTGCAATCACAGGCTTTTTTTTTATACAACTTAGAATGGCAAACAAGCTGACGGCCCATCTGATGGAAAGTGGTAACCGTCGCCTATAGACATGAACACTATCATGGACATAACAGATTATACTGTTTCGCCCAAGCAATCGACTTTTGTACAAAGTCTCCCTTTGGCGTTTTAATGTTTAAAGAGGGACGCTGCAGCCAATCCTTCGTCAATTAAGTTCCTTTAGTCACCTCTTAGGACACCCACGGGAAAGGAAGGGGTGACTCATTCTATGCGGGGAGCACACGGTATACTTTGTTATGTCCATAGTACTGCTCATGTATATAGGCAACGGCTACTATTTTCCATCAGGTGGGCTGTCAGCTTGTTTGTATACTTATATATATATATATATATATATATATATATATATATATATATATATATATAAGTTGATTGATTGGATTTGAGTTTATACCAAAATTTAACACATTATGTACAAATTTAAGCAAGTGAAGCCGTGGAAAACAGTTAGTAATTTAATAACAATAACTAAATATTATATTTTTTATCAAACTAGCCATTAACTAGTTCGCTACCCGCAACTTCACGCAGGGACATTATTTATCTGTGGTCGATAACATGTTTATTTTTATACTTTTTTTTTATTTGTGAATAGCTGTATTCTACGACTCTGCTTGCGTAAATCCTATGTGCTAAGTTTTTTTTATACAACTTAGAAGGGCGAACAAGCTGACTGCCCACTGAATAGTACCATGGACATAACAGAGTATACTGTTTCGCCCATAATACCCCCCATGCGTTGTCATTCCTGAGGACTCAGCTGTTATTCCTCTGTACCCTGTAAATTCACGCCATATCCCATCCTTCAAACCGAAACACAGCCATGCAAGCACAACTGCTTTACGATTGAAACACGAATGAGACAGAGGTACCCAAGCAAACGACTTTATTTCAAAGTCTCCCTCTGGTTATGTATTCATAAGTTGTAAATTGATATTATTATTCTCAAGGCAATTGTAATAATGAATTTCTTATCATTTATATAATAACAGTGTAGATACCATAGTTACTGTTAACAAAGGCTATCCAAATACACAATCTCTTTATTGACTGCTAGTTGTACCTGGCGGATTTGTCCGTGGTCGTACCGTAATGTTGGACAGCCTATAACCTCATTCAAAAGTTGGGGGAAAGGGAGTGTTAGTAATGCTGAGTATTAGTCCCAATGCTAACAATATACCTTAACAGGTCGACCTCCCCGTGGTTCCCCTGGAAACCATCGTGCTGAATTCCAAGTGTATTCATCACGGTGGGCTAACTGACCTGCCTTTTCGTCCTCACCTCACTTCACCTAGAAAGTATGCAAGCAGGTTGTATCTGAATTTGGTAGGATTATATGGCTGTATAACATTTTCTATACACTGACCTGTTATGAAGTGACAAAAATAGCAACTGATGGTGTATCTTTCGTCCTCTTTTTACTAATTATATTTGTATAAGAAGAAAGGAGGCAATCATATGAGTAACAGTTTTTATTTTATCATTCCTTCTATGTAATTCCTTGTTCTTAACCCTCCTAAAGTGGTTGGTTACTAAACAAAATTTGACACTAAATACTAGATGGCGTTAGAATTGAGACTCGTGGTTTTTGTTGATTATTTGGTAATTAAAGACAAATTGGAGCAGAATTTCTAAATTGGCGTGTAGTTTTATTTATTTTTTACCGATATAGTAGTAACATATCATAATTTTTGTCTTTATTCTCTTGTATTGTACAACTTCGTAAAAACACGTACTACTTGTATGGGTTATAATTCGTTCAGGAAAAGATTGCGTTTTTGTCACTTTTAATTTATACGTAATAATAAAAACATACATACACAGAGACAGACAGCGGGAAGCGACTTTGTTTTATACTATATAGTGATATTGTATTCCACAGTGTAAGGAGTCTTCATACTGTACTTATACTATGTAACTACTCAGGAGAGCTTCTAGGATTAGTTAGTAGTAGAAACTTCATAGGCTATTAAGGGTAAGAGGTAAATTTAGAAAAAAGAAAAATAATTAGTAAAAATATTACACGATTAAGTGATAAATATGTGTAAAAATTGCCTCACTCTGCGTGTTCTACCGCTTATACAACGGATTGTGCTCAGAGGAATTATTCAATATGATGCCTACGGCCACTTTCTATCATCGTACGGCTCACCATCGACAGGGAGTTCATCCTTATACCTTACAGCCTAAATGGTCGCGTACAACGCGGTTTCAGAGATGTTTTCCCCAACGAACACTCAGGTTATGGAATGAGCTTCCTGCCAAGGTTTTCCCAAGAGACTACAGCATGGGGTTCTTCAAAAGGGGGGTAAAGAGGTTTCTTCAGGGTCGGCAACGCGCGCGTAATAGCTCTGGTATTGCAGGCGTTCATAGATTACGGTAACCGCTTACCATCAGGTGGACCGTATGCTTGTTTGCCACCTCAGTGGTATAAAAAAAAAACATTATATGAATAAATAATTTTGATATCTTAAAGTCTCTACCATTAGGCCGCAAACCATGTATGTAATTAGATATCAAACTTGTCGCCAAGTTAACTAAGTAACATTTATCAGCACTGATAAATTGATAATTTCAATATTGTATCACAGGTGCTAAGGTTTATTGGCCTGATTTCCTTAATATAGTTACTACAATCATTTCATGAATTAAATCTCTTTTGTGTAACCCTTTCATCATCATCATATCAGCTTTTAACTGTCCACTGCTGAACATAAGCCTCTTCCTTGGGGGATTTTTACCAGTAATTGCCACGCTTGGCAGGCGAATTGGCAACTGCAGTTAGGCTTTGGAGATGTTTTAAGAGGGACGCTGCGACCTAT